GCGCGGCTACACCTCGGTTAAAAGTTGTAAACTGCAGGTTTCGCCGTGTGGCTGCCGTGTCTGTGTTATATTGGCTTTTATAAAGTGCAGAAGCTTCGAGGCGGACGATTTTTCTTGTGCTATACGTTGTACCGAGCCGCCCCCTGTGCTGTGCAGCGTGTGGCTCGCGCGCCAATTTCTCTCGAAAAATTTATAGAAAACGAGGAAAGTGTGTCAAGTCGAAAACAATGTAGAAAAAATATGCTCTCGGCAGCAGCAGCAGTAGCAGCAGTAGCTGTAGTAGCCGTATGTCCTTCTCGATGACAGATAATATATATATGTACGCGCGTGTGTGTTTACGTCATATTGTATACACGACGGACACGTCAAAAAATCGCATTGTAAACTTTGAATGAAAAACATGCTCACGCACGAACTTTTTTTTTCTGGCAGCCGCTGGTGCATATATATAGTTTGTTGTAACGAAAAATAAAATAATAATGATAATAATAACGTGAAATACGTTAACGAAGATACGGGTGGTTGTTGCTGCTGCAGTTGTTGTTTTTTGTTTGCTGACGGTAACGGGAAACTCGCGAAAAAAATGCCGACATTTTTGAAAATAACGACTAGCTGCGCGCCCGGATAACTCGAATAAAGTATATATACACCACGCAGCAGCACAGCACACGTGTAAAACAGGAGTTGTATATCTTTCCTGTTGGAGAGAGAAAAAAAGAAAGGCAGAGATAAAACTAACCCCAATCCGATTAGGACAAAGGCCAATGAAAGTGTCGTCGAGTGCGGGTGCGCCAAAATAGCCGTATAACTATATTTGTAAGCCGCAAATTTAATCGAAAGGAATATTTGACTTCAAAGGCCTAATTTAGCATGCCATTTTCCTGTATTAAATATTCAGCCTGTACAGATCCTGTGGCTGATGGGGTAAGCAGCGGCAGCAACGGAGAAGAGATGCACAGTTCGCAAACTTTCATTAGTCGCTCGCGCAAGTCGCAAAACAATTGCGAGATCTTTTATAACAATTTTGAAGAACTTAAAAAACATCTTTGGGTTTAATTTAAATTAAATTATTGATCACGTCTCTCTGATTAGAAAAACAATCAGTATTTTGACCAATTTATCAAAATGTTTCATTAGTGGGTGCTCGATCGATTCAGGTTTCGGGGTAGCATTACACGAAGTTTATAAAAAATCGAGTAACAAACTAAATGCTTGCCGAATAAAGTTCCAAACAAAATGGGGAAAAAGCTCTGGGCTGATAGTTGCACGAAGAGATAGAAACGAAGTAGCTAAAAAATGAATAGAGACTAGTTGATATCGGATAACACTCTGTCAGTACAGCACGATTTTTATTGAAATTTTAGAAAAACATCTATATAATTATCTATATATTTTTACAATTATCAATTATTATTCATTCTTGCAATTGCTGGGCGCATAATCTTTCCAACCTTCATGAACTTTTTTTTTTGTACTTGAGCAATTGCCGTTTTTGTCAAAATTTTCTCTCTCATTTCTCGAATGCGTTGTACCGTCTTTACAATTCTTTATAGTTCATGGGATGCCTTTTGGTGTAGGAGCAAATGCGATTTTCGTCCAAATTTCTTTTCTCATTGATTGCATGCGAAATCTCAGCAATCTTTGTGAATTGTACTTTGGTGTCTAATTAAATTCGCCATTCTTCCAAATTTCTTCTCGCACTTGTCACATGCATAATCTTTTCGACCTTCGTGGACTATTTTTTGGTGGTAGAGCAATTGATGTTCGAGTCCAAATTTCTTCTCGCATTTGTCACACGCGTAATTTTTGAGATTTTCGTGGACTATTCTTTGGTGTTTTACCAAATTGCTTTTAACTCCAAATGTCTTATTGCAATCTTCGCATACGTAATCTTTTCGACCGAGGTGGACTATTTTTTGATGGACGAGCAAATTCTGTTTCGTTCCAAATTTTTTCTCACACTTGTCGCACGCGAAATTTCTCTTGTGCACTGTCCTCTGGTGCTGGAGCAAATGCGATTTTGTTACATATGTCTTCTCGCACTTGTCGCATGCATAATCTTTGAAACCTTTGTGTACTGCTGTTTGGTGGGCGAGCAAATTCCATTTGAGTCCAAATTTTTTCTCACACTTGTCACATGCATAGTCTTTACGTCTTTGATGGACTGTCTTTTCATGCAAGAGTAAGGTTGCTTTGCTTCCAAATTTTTTCTCGCACTTGTCACATACATAGTCTTTACGTCTTTGATGAACCGCCTTTTCATGCACAAATAAGTTACGTTTGAGTCCGAATTTCTTTTCACATTTGTCGCATGCATGATCTTTGTGACCTTCGTGTACTGTCTTTTTATGCCGAAACAAATCGAATTTTCGTTCGAATTTCTTTTCACACTTTTCACATGCGAAATCTTTGCTTCCCTCGTGAATTATTTTTTGGTCCTTAAACATATTTGTTTTTTCGTCCAATTTCCGCTTGTACTCATCACTTAGGTAAGTAAGCTCGTGGACTCTTGTGATGTGCACGAGCAAACTATGTTTATTTCCAAATCTTTTTGCGCACTTTTCACATAAGTGATCTCTGAAAACTTCGTGAAATATTTTGTTGTGCTTGAGTAAAGTTGATTTATTTTCAAATTTCTTGTCGCACTTGTTACATGAGTAATCTTTACGATCTTTGTGTACCAATTTTTGATGTGTAAATAAACTAGATTTTTTCACGAATTTTTTCTCGCACTGGTCGCATGCAAAATCTTTGCAACTTTTGTGTTCAGATATTTGGTGTCTAGTCAAATGACTTCGGAACTCAAATTTTTTTTCGCACTTGTCGCACGAGTAATCTTTTCGTTCATTGTGAATTGTGTCTCGGTGTGTTATACTTGATTCTTGTGTAAATGCGTCCTGGCAAATATCACCAACTTTTTGTTTGTCGTTTAAAGAAACAATGTCGTATTCACTTGAATTTTTTTTCGAGACAACTTCTTCGAATGTCTTATCACTTTTGTCCATTTTTAGTGTCTGAATGAAACGTTGGGCACTTCTATTTTGTACGACAGTAATTAGATGAGTAAAGTTTATCTTTCCGTGTTATGGTTTGTTTCATCGGGAAAGACAACGTTCAAACTAATTTATTTTCACTATAAACACGATCAGTATTCGAAGTAAATATGTCCAAATCGTTTATGATCATATTGTTTACAATTGTGTTACCGATTTATCTGTTTATACATTGTCCGTACAATATTTAAAAAAGTTGAAAATTCCAACTTGGCGACGATTTCTTCGAGAGATGTTTTGATCTCCCCTAAACTTTAGCCACTTTCAAACAAACTCCTGACAGACGACATCGAGTAAATAGAATTACACATATGTTTAATAAAAAATTTGGAAATTCATTCCAAAATTTGCTACACCCACGCTGTGACGTAAATGGCATGCTTCGTAACTCATCACTTCATAGACCCCGTTAGTAACATTTAACATTAATTATGGACTAGTGACCAAAAAAAGCTCATTCAACACATACATTTCGATTGATTGTCTTATTTGGGGGTACTTTTATATTTCTGTTACTAATAAACAGCATTTAATATTAGTTATTATAATTGTTCAAAAACCTTCAGGCCAGTTTTCAATCACTAATACGATGATATCACTTCATGCCTCCGACATTAAATGGTGAATACTTTTAAATCCGTAAAACTGCAAGTGGTAAAGTAAAAGTAATCGTATAAGTATAATCAAAAAGCTATTTTTTTATAATACTTGTGCAAAGTACGTATTGTCGGGGCCTTCGATAGCAGTGCTCAACATAAATAATAGTCGAATAAACAAAAAATTACTATTTTCAATGTTACATTATTTAAATGTTTAATTTACATTACCACTATGTAGCTTTTTTTTCTATTAAAATCATGTTTAAAAATAAATACTGTTGCGATCATTTTAGATACGATAATACGAGTTGAAGTCTCCACCGCTAGATGGCGAGTGCCTTTATATTCAAATCCGCAAGTGATTAAATAAAGACAATTTTATATATAAGTCCAAGCACGCAAAGTGATTTCGAAATCTTAGAGCGTATCTAAACTCGCCACGAAATATGTTTTAGCTTTTTCTGCAGGACCCAGCTTGTGAATCAATTATAACTTAATTCACATGGACACTCGTTCAATTTGATCATTCTATGGATTTTTTTCACTATCAGGCCGTGTACTACCGCTTTACGCCTTGCTATAGAGCCCGTCATCGTAATACGTGTTTTTCCTGATCACAGAGGGTAGTAAAAGGATTCTTATGTTTTGCATCACCATCGAGAGACCTGTGTTCAGAGTAAAATGGGAGATCTTTATGAGTATCATGTAACTAGATCTACCTTCAAGATATAACTTGTATTAGCATCTTTTGAATTTATAAATGGCTACAATTCATCTTCTGTAACATTTTCGATGGTCAATAATACTTTTTTTTCTCAACTTTTTTCCTGTATTTTTTAGTTCTCTTTGCTTAATTGTTTTTTATTTTTATTCATTTGTTCCTCTACTTCACTGTCACCCATTTCGATTTCTGATTCATCATCGACTTCAATTTCTTAAGTGACCTATTCGATGCCGCCCGACGGTATTGACTCATTTCGTAGCCCTTCAAGTTATTCGCGATAAAGTGCATTCAATAACTTGTAGTCAATCACTGTAATGGAGTTGGATCTCGATTTTAATCTCCAAAACTATTGAAATAATAGTACTATACACAAAATAAATATCTCATTATTAATCTTACAGTACGCAGTATTAATCAAACCGGTGAAAAACGATGTTTTGATTTTAATTAGATCGATTGATCGACTAATTATTTACACATTAATTCATCGCGTCAACATTCGTGTTCTGTCGTTTACTCGAGTAAGTCGGACAAATTAGTTATCATCAGCCTATTCAAACAGTGAGACGGTTACCATACAAAGTGTAACGACTACAAAATTTTGGTTCTTTCAAGAGAGCAAAAATGTCTCTAACTCTGTACCCATGCGAACGTTGCCAAGATTATTTTAGTTCTGAATATGCTTTAGCGCATCACCATCGGTATAATCATACAAGCGAACCAGATTTGCGATGTTCGGATGGAATCGAGCTCGAGTCGCATGCAGCGTTAACCGAAACATCGTCTCACGAACCGAATCTTTGTCGAGAGTCACAAATGGAAATCGATTGCTTCGATCAGGCTTCAGTGATCGAAGGTTCACGCACCAAATACGTGTGCAAAATGTGCCACGAAGTATTTATAACCGAGAGCCTACTGACGAGCCACCAAAAACTGGTTCACCTAGAGCTGTTGGTCCACGTGTGCGCCGTGTGCCACGAAGTATTTCCTGAACGGCACGCTTTGATAAGCCACAAAGAACATTGCGATAGTGGAAATAACTACGAGTGCAACGTGTGCCACGAAGCATTTCCACTTCAAAGACTACTGACGAACCACGAAAAACTATCACACCCAGAGAGAAGTTTTAAAAGAAGAAAACTTGATACGACACAAAAATGATTTTCACGACGAACAAAACGAAAGGAAAGACGGTTCACGAGTGCAAAGCCGTAAAGAAGTTACATAAAAAAGTTTAATGACGAAACACTGAAAAATCGGTAAACGAAGAGCTAGGAATAGACTGTCCACGTAAGTGCAATTCATCGATAACAGACACCACGTGACAATACATTTGGAAAATTAGCTCTGCAGTGAAGAAAAGAACCATCATATGCAACTTATTTCAGAAGGCATTCTCGCTTCAGGACCGCTTGAGAAACCACTTAAAACTGTTTACACAGAAATTTATTCGCAATGGCAATATAAGGATTTTTTCAGTTAATACACAATGGTCGTGGATTTTATTTTAATAAAACATTTGAAATTTTAGGTATTGATTATCTAGAAAAAAATTTTATCAGTATTGATCGATTATCGGTTTCTGGTCAAGTATGAAATAATTTTGTCAGCATGTATACTATACTGAATATTGTTGTATTGATATTGATTATAAATTATACTGGCCAAACTGAAATTTGTAAATATCATCAACAAATATATTAGTCGTTTAAAATTTTCCACTTTAAACGTTTATTCTCAAAATCAAAATTTGTATTCAATAATTCTTTTCAATGGTAATAACGAAATACGGTTTCCTTAGCGGCAATCATTAGAATCGACGATAAACGCATGACACAGTGACACACACACGTACTTCAATCTAGTTTACAAATATGTAGTCCAATTGTTCTCTATAGGGGTGCAAAAGGTACAATTTTAACACTAACTTTGCTAGAAATTTTATTTGATTTGTTTACGTAAGATTTAACAATGATTAATATTATCTTTATCTGAACAGGCAATGGGCGATCGGCCATAGCTAATATTACATTTGAAACTACTTATAAATAAGTTTGAATTCCCGCAAAGTATACTCTTATCAATAACAAAAGAGTTTCGATAGCAACATGACCGATGAAGTATTGATATTTCGCAAATTAATTTGAATGGCTCAGCCGCAGCGATTGCTAACCTGGTGCACGGACAATTCCGCATTGTAAATTTTCGTCTCTCCTCGTCGAAAGATCCGTCACGTGCGCGGTAATACTATAATTGATGAAAAATACAACGACGATGCCAATATCCAAATAACGACAAATACGTAAGAGACACCTATATTCAGAAGAAAAATGAAAAAAAAAGTAAAAAAGAAGCTTGCTCAGATTTTCCTTTCCTCGATAAATATCTCCAAGCGTATGTAGGTCTAGATGATCGAATATACGTGGGCACGCGCCTCAGCTGGGTATATATCCGCCATCCGACCTGCTGCGCCGAGGCTTTTGGCATTATATTTTCATCGCTCTCTTCTCTCTCTCTCTCTCTCTCTCTTTTCACAAAAGATGAAAAGAAGGTCTCTTTTATTTACAGCCGAACAGTAGCTGTGGGAAACGCGAGAAAAAATTCAAAATTCAAATCTTGCGGGTGAATGTGTGTATATACGTGTGCCACTTCGGCCTCTTGCAGCGCTACATATTTCGTATATAAAAAATACATGTTTAAAAAAAACGCACATGGCGGTTGTTACAATGAGAGAAAAAGAAGTACACGCCCCTCGCGAGCCTCGGACAAATTTTCGGCTCGGCAGTATAATAAGCAGGAGAAAAACTGTTCCTTTTTCATTCATTTTATAATACATACGATATATATTGCACCATGTGTGCGAGTGTATTTTTTTTTTTCATTCTTCGTCCATGCTGTGTTTTTGTCGCAATACCAGCGTATCGCACACGCGCAAATTACATTCACGTACCATCCTCTCACGTACGTACGTACCTAGCTACCATACTACTCTATGCAAATTTTCCGTCGTGAATTTTCCACGAAACGTATTGCCCCGGCGAGAGAGAAAGGGAAAGAGGCGTACGACAAAAAAAGGTATATGAAAAAAAAAATGAAGGAAAAAAAAGCCGAGTGAGAGAGAAGAAACGAGCCGCGCGCCTGGCGCACGGTAACAACCAACGATGTAAAAGTCTGCTGCGAGTGGAATTTGCATCGAAGAGAGAGAGAGCAATTTTCACATTTATTCCCGCTATACCCACGGAGATACACCCAGCCGCGGCTCTGGCTTGACTGCGGGGCTATATCAGAGTTTGTATTTATTTAGGGAAATTATTAACTCTTTTGTGAACGCAAGCGCGACGCCGTGCGGGTAGGATAATACGCCGAGAGAGAGAGAGAGAGCAAAACACACACACACACAGCCTCGAGTGTACTTTTCGGGTTTTCATCTTGCGTGACGGTAGCGGCGGATTTCCCAAAGCTTTTCCCCGCGGTTTTGATGTGAATTATATAATTGCATTTCGCTGCAAAAACAGAAATGAAAAAAATAATAATAAAATATCTGCGTATCGTGGACTGTGGACAGTGAATTATCGTCGTCATTTTAAATATAATAAATGCGCGAATTCGAATCGTATATATACGTACGCTGTCATGCGTCTACGATAACGAGACACGGCTGATGGAGGGGGAAAAAAACGCGCCGAAACTGCTGACTATCCCGGAAAGCGAAGCTGAGGCAGCTCGGAGAGAAACAGAAGAAGACGAAGCGAACGAGACGCGGAGGAGGAGGAAAAATTCGTGAAAGCTGCGAGCGAGCGAGTGAGTAGTAGCGAGTGAGTGTAATAGCGTGTGCACAAGAGGGTAAGAGCTTTTTCCTATTCTCTCTCTATATGGACATCTAGCTCGACAGCTGCTACCGCTGCTGCTACTGCGAGATCTATATAGGTGCGGTACATTCGTCGGATCGCGTGAGAGCTGTGTATATAAAGCTGTATGTATAAGTTTCAACGTTCGTATGGATCTATACCCGAAATGACTCGAATTAACGTAAAATCCTTTTTCCTTTTCTTTCTCTCTTCTCTCGACTCGCGGTGACATCTGTCCTGTACATTATACGCGAGCTTTTCTCGACTTCGCAAGGTACACTTATTATACACGAACTGCCGACGAGGGACGAGTATAATTTTATGATTTATGAGGCTGCGAATAATTCGAAATTATATATATTATATACACAAGTCGATTCTCGCGCCACGTTTTATACGGTATATAATGTAATGCGAGAAAGAAAATTGGTCCCTTATCCGAGAGACGACGCAATTGCGCGCGCGCGCTTTAGACGTCGCGAAGATGGATAACTTCGCAGCTATAGCAGCGTCGTCAGAGAGAGAGAGAGAGAGAGAGAGAGATCGAAAAAAAAGAGGTAGATGAAGGTAATGGAGAAAATGTATTCATGGAATTTTCATGGGTCGTCCTTTATAACGTATAACGACGAGCTTTTGGCGTTCGAGCGACGATTCGCGTTAACGAAAGTAAGTGTATGCGTATTGCGTACGCGCTGTTTGTTTCAAATCTTCGTTCATTTTCGTCCCACTGACGGCTTTTAGAGCGCTGGATCGCGATATCAGGAATTCAATCAATTGCGCTCAATTATACGTCGCACGTGTCGACTACGTAAATCCAACGAAAAATCACAGAGCGTTTATTTTGATCGAGTCATCACTTTTTCAAAAATAATACAAAGATGATAAAGAATAAATAAATACTCAAAATATAATGCATTAAAAATAAATTAATAAATTAATAGAGATAAATAGAAATTTAATTTTGTAAAATTATCAACTCGATCGTATAGTAATGATTTTAAACGGTTTAAGCAAATATTGCGCCTGAACGAATGATTTTCATTGCGATTTTGCTGCACTGACATACGAGTGACTGTTTGTATGGCAGCACATTACTGCGTATGGCAAGTCGGCGGTAGAGGGGGAAAATGATCACAATCGCGGGTACACGAGTAGTGCGTTCAGTTGCCAGCGAGAAACAGAATTCCGATGATAGAGTAAAGTGTTTACAAATTGGTGCGAATTCAAGGTTTAGTGTTGGTTACTCGAGGCAAATAACCTCAAATAGTTTCTCAGTGTATAACGTGAAAAATCACCGTGAAAATATCATTATAATCGATCGAATGATGGAATGTAGCGAGGATACAGTGAGGTATTACTTTTTTTTATTCTTGGCGTGATATTTTTTCAAACGATTGCATCATAAAACTTGATTATTCTTCAGAGTAAAGCAAGAACCGAATGATGCATGGACAGATGCAGGCAACTGTTACAATTTTGATTTGGTGGACTCTTGCGAAGTTAAGAAATTTGAAGCCTTGCCATTTGATGAACTAACAGTAAGTTTGATCATTTTAATTATTTTCCGTTAATCGACTATTTCTATCTAGCCGATAATTTTTATTTCAGACAAAGCACGAAAATGAGGCTATGACGTTGCAGGAAAACGCAGATCAAGAAATATTTATCAATTTGGAGTGCAAAGGTGTCACACTCGAACCGACGTTTCTATCAAAAAGCATTTGCGAATCCGGACGTACACATTTTTCAGCTACTGTGAAAAAGGAAAACGAAAATTCGACCAGTTATATGATTGAAAAAGGACTATTGAATGCGAACTCCTGTTCCGAAATTTATGAATGTGAAAATCGGAAAAGTTTCAAAGAAATAGTGAAAAAAAAATCACCACATGAATTAAAAATACTTCCAGAAACTTATACTGCATATGAAAGTATAAAAATGTATTCGAATACGATACTCAGACCGAATGGATGTGATATTTTTCTCAAATCATCTGGACGAAAAGCTAATCTCAAAACTCACATTGATACAGTACACAATCAAAATAAACCCTATCAATGTGAAATTTGTCGAAAATCATTTGGGAAAAAGGGTACCCTCAAAACTCATATTCATACAGTACACAAGCAGAGTAAACCCTTCGAATGTGAGATTTGCCACAAATCATTTGGATACCGAAATGTACTTAAAAATCACACAAATGCAGTACATGATCGGAACAAACCCTTCGAATGTAAGATTTGTCACAATTCATTTGGACTGAAACATCACCTCAAAAATCACATAAATGCAGTACATAATCGTAGCAAATCCTTCGAATGTGAGATTTGCCACAAATCATTTCCACATAAAAGTGTTCTCAAAAGACATTCTAGTTCAGTACATGATCTTAGCAAATTCGAGTGTGAGATTTGTCACAAATTATATGCATATAAGAGTAATCTCCGTAAACACAAAAAGACAGTACATAATAGTATTAAATTTTTTGCTTTTGAAGAAAAAAGAAACCTCAAAAGGCACGTCATAAAAGTACATAATCGTAGTTAACGAGGAGGGAGATATTTGTCTTAAAATATTTAAACTTATAAAGACTTTTACAATCCAGTAATTTTGTGAAAAACAATAAAGAATTTCAACCTGTAATTAATTTTGTCGTTATTGTGAAAAATCTATATAAAAAATATTTCTTAAGTTCCTACTTTCTACTGGTATGCGAGTAGAAAATCCTTTTCTTGTTAACCATCACTGTTTGATAAAAAAAAGCTCTGAAAAGTAGTGACAGCTGAACCGATGCAACATATATCGTACATCTGATACGATGAAAAGATATGATTTTTTAATTATATCGTTCAACTCCGATCAACTACGTACCATAAGTTCGCACCACGTATATAAATTCAGATAAATGTACGTATACAATGAACCTGCATCACGCACAACTCAAAAACCATCACGTAGGTATGAATTAAAAAATCGAGTTCGATGTAAAGATGGCTCCATCATGAAAGTTCCAATTCAAACAATCATAATACGTTTATTACTACCCCATTAATTTTTCAAGAAAGGAGAATCTCGTTATCTTTATCGAATTGATAATTTCGAAAACTTTCGGATCCTATTGTACGCATTATGCATTTACAGATCGTTTGCAATGTAACGCCGGCTCGTCACAATATTCGCGATTATCATCGTTATCAGTACACGATCCGATTCGAGCCGTGTGCGCGTATGCGTCACCTAGCCGAGATAAAGTTAGGTCTAGGCAACGACAGAATAGCGAGCGAATATATTGTACAGTGTAGTAGAGAGGGAGAGAGAGAGAGAGGCACACGAGTAACCCGAGTATTACACAGAAGTGCAATTTCCAAAGGCTTTGAATAATGCGAGCAATCCAAAACGCGGCATGTGCAGCTCTTACATGCGATATATATACGCGCGCGTACGTTCGCTTTTCCCTTGTAACCCGTCCGAAACGTCGAATTGCGCGCCGGCCTCGTAGCGGCATTATAATTGTTGGTTACATTATCATTTCTCGTGTCTTTGAAGCGCGCGCCGCGTTTGTGCTTCGATGCGCATTTACAGCACGAAAATCGGATCCGATGCCGCTGCGTAATATTTGTGCATTTCATCGTGGGTGCATTATTCAGCCCAAAGGGCAGGTTTTTTAATTTCAACATTAAAAGTTTATAATCAAATATTTTAGTACATTACGTGCCTCGCGTGTGTTTTTATAAATGCGTGCACACGAAAGAAGAATAAAGACGAAGCAAAACGCGTCGCACACGAGAGCACCCACCACCACCACCATCACCAACACCAGTACATAAAAGAGAGAAAGCTACTCACTCAGTCAATCTCTCTTTCTCTCTCTCTACTGTGCGCTGATCTGCGCCAGCGCTCAAGCTTCCCCAAAGAGAAAACGAGAGAGTGTGCAGCAGCAGCAGCAGCGTAGAGTCGCGAGGGTGGGAGCTTGTGCCAAGGGTAGTAGTAGTAGTAGTAGTAGCTAGCTAACTGTAGTGGTGTGTGTGTGTGTGTGTATGCGCGCGTGTTCGAAAACGCAGAGAGCGAGCGAGAGGAAGAAGCAGCGGCGGGTCGCGCTTACTGGCTGCTGCGGGCGCGACAGTTCTGTACCGTTCGCGCGCGCGTGAGCTTTTCCCGAGCAGCAGCAGCGGCAGCAGTAAAGTGAGCTTTTCGTCGGAGCGAAAATACCATTCTCCACTACTGCTACTGCTACTATCGTATCGGGCGCTTGTACCACTACTGCCATATAGGTCGTGGGAGAACGTATTTTACTACACCACCGTGTGCCACGCGTTTTCCTGCTTCGTACGATCTGTTGTACATAAATAATATTCTACGTGTTTTGTGCGAACGAGTCTGTGTTGTGCTCGGTGACAGGTTGGTGTTTTGTCATTCGTTTGTTTATTTTTTTTTCAATTTCTGTGTTGTTGTTGTTGTTGCTGCTGCTAATGCTGATCGTGTATTCTTCATTCCCAAAGAGAACATTTAAAACGCCGTTCGTTCCTTCTCTTTTTCATCCTCCTCCTTTCCCATCCTGAAAAAAAAGCGTAGCAATATACGTACGGGAAAAGGCTCTCTCGGTACATTAAGCTACTTAAAAGCTATTATGCATCGAGAGTCAGGGTAGGCTGCAGCTTGCGCAAGTCGAGCTTCGGAGCAGCAGCATCGGAAATCGGTTCAACCGCTCGCACTCGCGCTCGCCTCTCGCCAATGCACTCCGACTCTCTTTCTCTCTCCGCTTTATTTTTTCAAGCGCTAGAAATTCAAACGAACGAATTGTTGTTGATCCTTCCCCCGATCCTACCGAACGTTAATGCGCTGTGTAGCATGTGAATACGAGAAAAAAAGTATACGCGCGCGAGCGTTGTTTACACTGTGAAAAAAAGCTGGGAAAATAAGCTTTTTATCGGCCCGCCTATTAGCGCGATTAAACGAGAGATTCCGCGTTTGCACAAAATGGTTATACACATGCGAAAAAATTCGTCCTTGACAGATATTTACGTGAAAGAGAGGTCCAAAGCGTGTCAGGAGTAAAGTAGCAAAAAAAAAGTAGTCAGTCTCTCTCTATTTTTGTATGTATACGAAAATTGCGAACGACTGCAGTCTCGGCAATCGCAATCCTCTGCCAAAAAATGTTTCCTTCGGTAGCAGTCGTAGATAGAGTCCTACACGACGTGACTATATTCCCAGGGCAGCGAAGCTGATTCAGGCGAAACGGTTACACACACACATATATGTAGAAAAAAAAACGTGTGCAGCAGCACACGGACACATTCGCAAACTTTCGGGGAGATTTTTTTCTTTTTCATCGACGATTTCTAGCGCGAATATAAACATATACAAGAACGACGATATTCCAGTGTGTAGCGAGCGCAACCCTCCTTTTTCGTGCCCCCCCAAACAGCATCAGCATCAGCAGCAGCAGCAGCATGTGTCCCACTTTCTCTCCTCTTTATAACGGTTATATATACACTATATACTGAAGCTATGTATACTTGTATTTCAGTCGCGCACACCTGCCCGAGAGAGAGAGAGAGAGAGAGAGAAACGAACGAGTCAAGCTCTATATCTATAGTAGATGGTATACACGAGCTGATCAGCTGACGCAGCAGTCGAAGAAACTAGTGCGTGCGGAGGCTAGCATCCGACCAGTATATATAGTGAAGTGCAGCCAGTGTGGGTGTATACAAATAGCTGCAGTGTGCGCACGAAGGAGAGAAAAAAAAATATAAATAAAAGTGATAGCGGTGTCCACGCGTTTAATAGTGGGTGCGACGTTTATTAATATAATACACGAAATTACCCTTGACCAACGAGTCAAGAAATTAGCAATTGTGTGTGTACGTGCAGTGATACAAGTGTTTGCGCGTGTGTTTACTGTGCAGCCTTGAAAACACAGGCCAATTCCAGCCCGAGTCCTCTCTGATCAAAAAAAAAAAAAAGAAGGGATAGAGACAGAGAGATAGCCTGACTGGGCACACACGTACGTACATAACATATACGTAAATATAGCACATATAAACACATAACTTCAAGCACGTGGACGCTAGGAGCTACAAATGAGCTTTGGCCTATACAGAGTGCACACGCCATGTGCATACACAAACGCGTACTATACACTGTATAAACTCGCGGCCGAGGTGACGAGCGAAGGTCTCTCTCTACTCGGTGCACACGAGGGTTGCTCGTTAGTTACCCTCACCTTTACCTGCATTGCCATCATTACCGTGCGAGTGTGGTATATATATAGCACTATAAACAGAGGCACGGCCGTGCATATCTTATCTATATACAAGTATAAACCGCTCGAAAGAGAGGCTCTATACGTATACGTACGTACGTTGACTAGAGGTCGAGCGACGGGTTGCGTTACGTGTGATACACGGCGGTATATGCAAGGGGGTGGGGCGCTCACCCACACGTATATTTATAAATGTGTGTCTAACTCTCCTCGAGTGCATGTGTGTGTGCAAAAGCGCCGCGTCGCTCGCGATCCGATTTGCAAATTGGTCCTTTTGCGGTGTGTGGCGGCGGCGGCGGCGGAGGCCGAGGCTGTGCGACGCGAGGTTCATTATAGAGATAGAGAGGCGTACGGATGCATTATTCCGCGTGTAGCTGCTGCGGTGCAATTTTCCATTCAAAGTCTCTCGCTTACTCGCCCCTTTCTTGTTTACGTTGAAAAACGAGAGGAAAAAACAAGTTTCTCCGCTACTTATTTTATTTATTTTTTTTTTTTTTTTGTCGAGCGATATGATACATCGGAAACTTTGACGGCCGACGAGGTACAGAGTGACTTGTTTATTTGCGCGAGGAAAGGGACGAGGGCAAGAAAAAAAAGTTTTTGATAAAAAAAAAGAATAATCTTTATCCTACGGAGAGTTGATAAAATATCGTATACTTTATCCTAAGTTTTGGTTTTCTCTTCGTCGTCGTCGTCGTTTTTTTTTTTTTTATCGGGCTCGAGTCCGTAAACTGGGTTAAATCTCCCGCGCGCCGCCGTCGCCGTATATATTCTCGAGGCAGAGCGCATGTATTATATATTTATATATCGTGTGTAGCGGAGACAGAGAGAGAAAAAAAATCGAGAGGTATAAATTTCGAGATAACCGTACGTAATATTTAAAATATTGAATCGTAATGTCCGGGCCATCGGCGTAACGACGACTCAAATGGGATAAAAAGAATCTCGGATAAAGATGGGAAAATATCCGCAGGCATTTTGAGCTTCTTTTCGCTCGCGTATGTGTGTACTTATTTCGCTATACGAACCCGGAGGAAAAAAGCTTCTCTCTCTCTCTCTCTCATTCACTTCTCATCCATTAAGCATCGCGTCGAGTGGGTAGTAATCTTAAAAAGTCGCGTGTATACATGCTGTAGCCCTCTCGAAAGGGCAGAGACACGCGAGTCTCTCTCTCTCTCTCTCTCTCTCTCGCTCTTTAAAAGAAAACTGGGTTTCTCGAGAAAAGAAGAAGACGAAGAAGAAAAAAAAAGGCAGAGTGAAAGAGTAGTGCTGCCCGCGCGTTATATGTACACTACACCACTCGTTGTTGTGCATTATAATATTATACATGAAAAAAATTGCGCCGCGATTAATCGTCGTAATTAGCGTTAAATTCTAATTTTTTTTTTCATTCGCACTAAGCTTCAATTTTCTTCGAATGGCACTGATTAACGCGGACTCCAATACTTTATTTCATACATTAATCCACGAGGATGAGAAATCCCATCTCTGCCTTCGCCCTTTTTTCCGATCGAACGCGCCAATCAAAAGGGAGAAAAATCTCTGTCTCTCTCTCTCTCTCTCTCTCTCTCGTTTCTTCTGATCTGTCGTCCGTGCTCGTCGTCGCCGCCGTCGAAATTGAAAAAGAAAAGGAAAAAGGAAAGAGATAATAAGTCGCGCAGAAAACGTCAATGGACATTTGATAGAAAGCTATGTAGAGCTACGGAGGAATTCGAGTGGCGTATTTCGGATTAACGTCGTCGTCGGGGTAAAAAAAAAGAGGAGCAGGAAAAAAAAGCTGGTCAACGCGAATAAGATCGAAATCGACGTGTGTGTGTATACCATCGTGCATTATATATATAATATGAAACGAGCGCTCCAGACGACAGCAGCAGCGACACATGTACTCGTGAAAATTCAAGAATTCCTCCCGTGGGGGGTATTATATTATACATATCTTATAACGTTCACCGGGCGGAGAAGAGAATCCAGGTGAATAGAAATCATTGCCCTTTGTTTCGTTTTCAAAAGAGATGAAAGTAGCTGCTCGGGGTAATGTGCAAGCTCATCTCTCTCTCTCTCTCTCTCTCTTATATAGCTCCGATGTTCTTGCATTGCTGCTGCTGCTGCAACGTCAATACAGCACAAGACCTTTTGCAGTTTTCTCTTTTCTCTCCTCTTGCTACTCAGCCCCCCCTTCTCTCTATTCATTGTTTTCAACCGACGACCTACAATTCCTATACTAGCTCGTGTCTCTTTCTCTCTCTCTGTGTATCAAAGATGAGCAAGGGAGAGAGACAGTTATATATTGAAAGAGAGCTATGCATATTATATCTGTGAAATGTGCTTTATGACGCGCAGGTAAAATGTGCATGAAATGATATTTCAAAAAAGAGGGAAGGAACGGGATGTACGCGAAAAAAAAAGTACGAAAAAATGCCGATATCGAAAACCGATGTAATGGAAAAATTTCCCTTCGATGCGCGCGTCAGAGGCGTTTAAAAGTCGGCGTATTACAGCTCTGAAAATGTAGTGGGAGGGCCCGCGGGGGTCACCAGTGTGGCGCATCTGCGGCTGCTGTTTGAATATGCAAATTTTTTGCTCGCGCGCGCGCGAAAGATATTTCTTTTTAATTTAAAAGTGAGAGAGCCCGCGAGAGTCAACATATCGGGTCAAAAACTTTCCTTTATAATGAAAAAATTAACTCGGTAGCGGGTAGCCGATCTAATTTAGTTTTTACATCGCTCTTGCTCTCTCCAACTTCTTCCGTATACTCCTCCCTTTTTTCTCCCCAAAGAGTATGGAGTAGAATAAACCAATTTGGATCGGCCGTGCCGGCGGTCGAGCGTATATATGCAAATCTCGGCGTACGTCGATACACGAATCCCCCGCAGCGCAAGTGTCAGTCTATACTCTCGGGCTCCCTCGAGGCTCTAAAGCCGCAAGTAGCTCACACACACACACACACAACTACGCCCAGTACGGGTCATCGACTCGACTTCTTACTTTACTATTATTATTATTTTTTGTTTATTTCTCTTCACAGTTACCGAAAAAAAAGGACTAAAAAGAAAAGCAATGATGCATCGTCAGTGGTCGCGGGGCGAGAGCGTGGCGTCGTCGGGCTACGGCGGCACGATCACGGCGACGGCCTCGCGCCAGGCGAGCTACGAGGTTGACGCGCAGGACTACGAGGACGAGCAGATACTGGGCTCGAGGTGAAGCATCGGCACGGCGACACAGGTCGTCGGGCCATCGTCCGCGTCGCTGCTGCGCCAGCAGCAGTCCACGGCCTCCTCGTCGTCGCATCACAACAACAACACCCCTTCCCGCAGCGGTACCCCCAAGCCGCAGATCAAGAGCGTCGCCGAGATGGTCGACCGGCCCAACTGCCACGACTGGACCCATCATCATGACAAGTTCAATATATCCAACACGGCCATGTCCTGGGACTCGATCAGCTCGAGGGATTACATCGGGTAAGCCGCGGGACGCGGAGATATATACGCGCGTCCGACCGTAGCGTTGACTCGCGCTACTTATACGCAGAAACTTTTGCGCTTCGCGCACGGCTGCGGCGGGCGTGGAAATAAATATCAAAAGAAGGAGAGTTGAGAATTCCCGCGACTGCTGCTACTGCTTTATGCAATACTTTATCGAGGAGCGCGTGTCGCGCTCCACCTGGCAAGTATGACAGGAACTAAGTGACGACACGCCGCTACTCATATACAGCCCATTACTTTCCGCCAACTTTCTTGTCGCTCTAAGTTGAATTTGATAACAGATATCGAGAATCTGATAAGCCCATTAGATTCCTTGGAAAAAATCCTATCGATATGAGGTATTCAGATTTTCGAAAAGTTCACGACTTTTGATAAAAATAACATTATTAAAGTGAGAAGCATGAAAAATGTTCACACCTACAATATGTTCACACCTAAAAAGTGTTCACACCTCATATATACGCATTGCAAGTGTGTGTTGTGTATGTAAGCGCTGTCGCGTACATGTCGCATATATCGCAGATTCTCCGAGAAGTGGCGGTGTTTTCGCCCGAATATCATCCCGGGCGACTCGCTCGACGCAATATGTCGAGATCTGTCCTCGACGATGACTTTCTCCGGGAAGTCGTGGTGTTTTCACACTAATTTCGACCAGGGTGTCTCGCTCGACGCACTAGGTCGTGATCTGTACTCGACGATGACTTTCTCCGGGAATTCGTGGTGTATTCACACGAATATCGACCAGGGTGTCTCGCTCGATGCACTAGGTCGAGATCTGTCCTCGACGATGACTTTCTCCGGGAAGTCATGGTGTATTCACACGAATATCGACCAGGGTGTCTCGCTCGACGCACTAGGTCGTGATCTGTACTAGACGATGACTTTCTCTGGGAAGTCGAGGTGTTTTCGCACTAATTTTGTCCTGGGTGGCTCGCTGTACCCAACAAGTCGGATTGCAGACTGAACGATAATTTTCCCCGGGAAATCGCGATGTTATCGTACGGAAATCACCTATATAAGTCCGCTCGATGCACTAGGTTGGGATCCGGACTCGACGATGACCTTCTTCGAGAAATCGCGATGTTTTCGCATGCATATCATTGTCAATACGTATTTTTCTAATTTTCTATGTGGGTTATAAGCATACCTATATAAATAGTATAATAATCTGAAATCCCATGAACTCTTGTTTTTTAAAAGAAAATATATGATCAAGTATGTCCGTCTCATACTCATAATTTTGTGCTACCTTATGTTTGTTAACTATTGAATTGGTAATCTTAAGTCGTAAATGACAATTAATTTTGTGGCTATGATATATTTGAAATCAAATTAATTCTGTCAAGTATTGAACAAACTAACAATTTTTTGTTTTAAACTGTTATCATACTGAAATGTTTACAATAGAATAATTCATAACCGTTGTAATACTTTTTTCAAAAGTTTAAATAGGGGCAAGTATGACAGTCTGATCCTTATAATTTTAATCTAACTTTAAAATTCTCTCTCTCATTTATGAAACTTTTAATTTCAAATTGTCAATGATCAACTACTTAGCTATGATGATAATGAGATCCAATACATTCCGACAAGTATTCAAGCAAACTAACATTTTTATTACTTAAACGAAAACCACAATGCAAAGTATAGTTGTTGTTAAAATTTATAGTAATTATTATTCAATTATATACAGTGATAAGCGAAATGATATACTCTCATGCGATCATGCAAAGGTAACAGTGGTATGTAAAAAGACCTTATTATGACTCTACTTGCCCGGCCGTCTCGATCGAATCCGATGCGAATAATACAATTTTACATACCGAAAGCAAACTATATAATATACAAGAATTTTCTAAACTTTAAGTTAAAGTTTTTACTTCAATGGTGTATAATAACATAATCTTATATTTCAAGTTCTTCCTTTACATTAATGACATTTAGAAACTTTTTATGAATTGACGGAAGAATGATTCTGAGAAAAAACGGTATATCAAAACGGAAAAAAGAATACAGGGTGATTACTTAATATATTGTCTTCAATTGAGTAAATTTTTTGCGTGTTTTCGTATAGATTAGAACAGTAAATGCATTGTAGATACATTAAATGAAAGACTACTATTATATAATACATGACGATTGCGAACGTCTTGAATTCGATCGAGACGGCCGGGCAAGTAGATTCATAATAAGGTCTTTTTACATACCACTGTTACCTTTGCATGATCGCATGAGAGTATATCATTTCGCTTATCACTGTATATAATTGAATAATAATTACTATAAATTTTAACAACAACTATACTTTGCATTGTGGTTTTCGTTTAAGTAATAAAAATGTTAGTTTGCTTGAATACTTGTCGGAATGTATTGGATCTCATTATCATCATAGCTAAGTAGTTGATCATTGACAATTTGAAATTAAAAGTTTCATAAATGAGAGAGAGAATTTTAAAGTTAGATTAAAATTATAAGGATCAGACTGTCATACTTGCCCCTATTTAAACTTTTGAAAAAAGTATTACAACGGTTATGAATTATTCTATTGTAAACATTTCAGTATGATAACAGTTTAAAACAAAAAATTGTTAGTTTGTTCAATACTTGACAGAATTAATTTGATTTCAAATGTATCATAGCCACAAAATTAATTGTCATTTACGACTTAAGATTTATCGTATACTGCCGGTGCGCGAGCACAAAGGAAAGTATAGGAGGCCGAAGATTAAATTTTGCGAAAATACGATTAAACTTTTCTCGAGTTGATAAATTCTCTTTAACGCTTATGTGCACTGTAACGCGTGTAAGGATTATATCACGACGGATTTTCCAACTCGCTAGCTCGTAATATATATATCCACGCGGCTGTGCGCTTATATTTCCGGCGCTTCGTAGTTTTATCGATTTCCGTATCAAGGCAGATATTTACACTCCGTGATAAAGTTTCCGATACATACTAAATTTGTTGTTGATGTTGTTGATGTTGTTTTTTTTTTGTTACGTAGGCATCAGCTGTCCGCCACTGCGCTGCTCGGCAGCCCGGACGGCTCGAGGCATCCCCTCGACGTCTACGAGTTCTCCGAGGACGACTATCGCCGACAGATGGAGAACGGCTCGGACAACGGCACGGGCAGCTATCACGGCCTCGGGCTCTGGGAGTGCCTCGTCGGCTGCCGCAACAGATTCGACCAGCAGCTCGCCCGCAGAAAAGTGAGTAGCTATTCGCGATATGTCTCTTTAAATATATCGCTGATCTCGTGGCGCGAACGAAAGTCACCGCGAGAATTAATATAGCTCGATGTCGGAACCTCGACCCTTGACCCAGAAAGATCCCACCCCCGGGGGGCAGGGCATTCGACTCTCGATTTCTTTTTACTCCTTTCTCCCGCTGCTGCTGATGCTGCTGGCATACAAATTATATCGGAATTATACTCATCCAATAACGCGTATATACACACAATAAAATATAACGAGTGGCTATATAACTGCTTCAACTCGCTCGTCTCGAAAATAAGAGTAGAAAGAAAAAATCTCCCAAACTCTGGGAAAACTGTTCGCTCGCTCCGGCCGAGTAGTAGTAGTAGTAGTAGTAGTAGTAGTTTTCAAGGATCTTTCGCCTCTCAAAAAGAGAGTTGTATATCTTTCCCGAGCGTCGAGTATTAGCGCCTGAAAGGGCTCCACCAGCGAAATTGCTTTGTTGTGCTCTGCTGCTGCGAAGCTCTCGCTCACTCGACTCGAGAGTTTATGCGGCCATTGTTTACATATTCATTTTGCTAATTCACTCACGCGCTGCACTTTGTAACTTTTTTTATTAATTGTCGTTGTTCGTCTATTCTACGTTTTTTGTTTTATATACTCTACTTCGTTTCCCGTTTATAAACGATTTCCGTCGTTGATGGATTTTTTTTTTGTCCATTTGCCTCTGCTTTCAAAGTCGATAATGACAAAAAGGGCGAATAGTTGAATATTGAGAAAATAAAAGAGGAAAAAAAAAGTATTAAGTGAAACTCAGAAAGCGAAAGAGCTGGAAAAATAATAAACTCGCTTGGTACATCGTTGGGCTTTACCGTCCGGTTTGTTTATCGAACCCTTTTGCGAGCCTCTAAGCTTCTTATTTGAATAACGTTTTTGTGCTCTCGCACGCGCGCAATTTTTTTTCCCTCTTTTCGCTGCACTGCACTCCGCAAAACGCTGTAAATTTACCCATTCTCTCCTTTTTTCTATACTTTCTCTCTTTCGTCTCTATATATGTATGCACCCACAGAGCAGCCGCCCGTGCGTTTATTTTCATTCTCTAAAACTTTTTCTCTCTCTTTCTCTCTCTTGCGCGCTCACACATAACAACTATACTGGCCGAGTTTTTTCCGTGTAAATTCACCTCGTCTCTTTTTACCTATCTCGCGTTTTTTTTTGTCCCTCGTCCATTCGATACCCAAGAATAATCCGAAAAAAAGAGAGGGACTTCAAGGGAAAGAGCATGGTTATTGTAACTTTATAATATAAGATTTTTGTTTAGTTCGTTGACGGTCATATCGCAGATTTCGCATCCATCGTTCGAAAGATTTAATTGTATTTTAGTTTAAATTGTATAATTAATGAGATCCTCCATATAAAAAAATCCGAAGATATGAATAGTGGATGACTATGAGGCACCTAGATTTAACTACCGATGATTAGGTTTTCACTTCTGAATTCGAAAGTGACATCTAGCGGCTGAACTTCTACTATAAATACATATGGGCTGTAGCACATAACGGTGATAGTCCAAAAAATGAAATTGAAACAAAGTATGTACTTTTGGACAGTAGGTACATTGAAAAATGAAAATCCCGAAAATTTCAGACCTCTAGGTCCATCTTTCATGGATCTGCAGGGTCTCAAAAGTTGGAATTTAATTTTTCAATTTTATTCTAATTCCCTAGGGCGAATAAGAAAAAATTATTGAAACATGATTTTTATTGTAAAATCAAAAAATCAACTATTAGGTTAATAATGCAATATGTTTATTCGAGAGCATATTAAAGATCAATAGACAAGGAAAATGAGAGAAAAACCATGTTTTTGATTCCTACAAGAGATATCATGGTTCATGTGATACAGCCCATATACACTCGCATAATTCGAAGTTTAAAAATTCTTAGATTTTACGACGTCTCGTATGCCTGTACAAGCCTTATTTCGTCATTAAAGAAGCGTTTCGAAAAAATGTTTTCTCCAAAAAATCGACATCCGCTGTGTTGTCGAGTACAAAGCAGCGTATATATACTCGAGCGAGCTTCGCTCGCACACAGAGCCCCTGAGCTTTCGCTTTTATTTCTCGCTTCGCTGCGCACCACCACCACCACCAACCTACATAACTACAACAGTCGCCACACACACACACACATAAACACAAAAGTGTGCCAGGTGCAAAAGTGCACAGAGCAGCAGCAGCGGCAGCAGCTCAGAGTTCAGGGCTAAATCGATAATATCAGCAGGCAGCCTTGCTACGAGATATCGCGTTACGCCTCGCTCTGTGTTTTAATGCGTTTCCTCCCTTCCTCTCTTTTCGTGCTTTTACCTGGGGGAAATATGATCGATTTGCATAAATGTCGCGCTGCCGACTGCTGCTGCTGCTGCCTCTCTGACCTCTTGAGAATTTACGGCATGCGCGCGAGAGAGAGAGAGAGAGTTCGAATTATTAAAAACGGACGAGCCGCTGCCGCTGCGCTTTTGATTAATATTCCCTGTGATAGTTTGTTCTACTAGAGGTCCCCCGCCGTATATGGACAATTTGCATATCGTTATCCTTTACCCATTTCTCTCTCTCTCTCTCTCTCTCTCTTTTACGCATTACACGTCCGAAAGTGACTCTCGTCGAATTACATAAATCATAAATCGGATCGATTTCATTTCGAGTGAGAGATTCGTAGTAAAAAAAAAAATAAAAAAAATAAAAAGTTCTTCCGTCAGGATTGGAGTGACTACGCGAAGTCGTCCTAACGAAAAAAACTTTGCCCTGTTAAGACACTTGCTACTACACTTTTTTTTCTCCTCTTTCAACTGCTCTTCGTTCACTTCGTTCCGCTTCATTTGTCGAAGTTGTGTATAGTAGTGTTGTCGCGCGCGAGCGCGGCAGTTAATTATATATATTCTGCCTCGCCTGCGCTTTTTTTTTTTTAAATCGCGACAGCTGGAAAAGTCGAATTAATTAAAATATTCCCTCTGCTCTATCTGCTCTCTCGCGAGAATATTTAATGAGTCGCGATTAATTAGCCCGACGAGACGCGCGGCGGACTTTTATCAGATTTTACTCCACTTCCCCCACCCCCTGGTTGGATGCAAAAAAAAATAAAAAATAAAATGAAAAGCTTCGCTTTCCTACAGCTAACTTTTCTCGCTGTATCATATGCTATAGGGGAGAGACGGGCATGAGTGACACCATAACTTCAAACTTGCTTCCTGGAGCGAATTTTTAAAATTTTTCAAATCTGAAACGATCAGTGCAAAGGGGAGCTCAAGCTCTATAACATATATTAAAATTAAAAAATTACAATGAAATTTCTATTTTTTATTGAATTTCAAAAAATTTGTCACAATTGCCCGTCTTTTCCCATGGGCCGGGAATTGTGCCATAGGAGTCGGGCACGAGTGTCATGTATATTATCATGCAAAAAATACATATATGTGTAGAATAATATATTTTTTTACTCAAAAACAATGAAGTTTAGAGAAAAAGTTTATGGAATGAAAAAGTCTCCAAATTTATCGAGAAACATTCTCAAATATTTTCAGAATTTTTTGACATTTTTTTAAGAGATTGCACTCGACGAATTGTCGGAAAATTGAAAATCGTCTCCGAAAATTCTGAAAAAATTTGGGGCTTTTCTTTGATAAATTTTAAGACTTTTTTGTTCCATAAACTTTTTCTCTAAACCCAATGGTTTTCAAGATAAAAATCAAGTTTGGTTTTTTATAAACATTTCATTTGAGAGACGCCATTTTGTTAGAAAAAGTCGCTAAAAAAATTTAGGAAAATTCCTTACGGTACTTCTACATCCATAATTACCTCTCATCATATTTATACCTCGAGTTTTATACTGCAAAACTTGGAAAAAATTTCTTTAAGTTGATTTTTCGCGCAAATTTTTACGTTTGTTTTCGTTTAAACAACCATAACTTTTTGACGAAGCATCAAATCTTAAATTTGAGCCCGGATTCTCAAAGGGCATTAAATTTTACATGAAATTATGTATGCGCAAAATCTTTTTGCGTTTCAAAATATAAAAAAAAATCGCGTCGATCACGAACAAAAAATTTCATTATTCTGGACGTGAATGGGTTATTGATAGGTCGTCATGTGACACTAGTGCCCGACGGAAGGTGACCCTCGCGCCCGGTTTGAGTACCTTCTTTATTTTGTTAATAACTTTTTTAATATTAATCGTAGAAGAATTAAAAAAAAAGGAAATTAAAGTTCAAGCTTCTAGCTTTCTAGTGATATAAATTTCAAAAGCAAAAAAATGTTTTTAATCGTTTTGCTACTCAGTTGAAATATTGGTTATATTGGATTTTTTAGTCAAAAATTTTCAACAATTTTTTTTTTGTTAAAAAAAATGGATTTTGAAAAATTTTTTTTCGTACAAATATCATTAATGATGAAAGGACTATGAAAAAATTTATTTCATAATTTTAAGTTGAAAATTGCATTTTTTATGGGGGTGACACGGTTACCAGCCATGTTCCACTTACCCGCCTCTCCCCTATATCTATCTGTATGGAAACCGATACAGCTTTAATATTGACTCGGCGTCCTTCTGCACTCCCATCGTCAAAGAAACACTCCCCCGGCTCTCGAGAGCTTCTGCTACGGCAAATGTACTCCTCGTCTTATATATATTTATTTAAGCTGCGAAATCGAGCGCGTAATCTGGTGTTTATTATTTTGTTGCTTTCGTGCGATCGGATCCCTTTTTCCTCTGTGTACACTTGTGCAGCAGAGATACAGCGAACATTTTCCCGATAAAATCGCTTATTAATCGAAAGCGGTATAGCAGCAAGGCAGTGTATATAATAATTTTCTGCCAAGTATGCGGCGCGCGCGAGCGTATTTTTACGCGTAAAATACATAGAGCGGGCGGTAATTGCAACGGAGCCGAGAGAATACACAATGTGTACAATGTATATAGCGCAGAGAAATCGCTCGAGATCCATCGAACTTTTCTCCCATTCAATTATCGATGCGCCTTCCTTGCTGCTGCTGCTGATGCTGCTCGAGCGGAAAGGGTCAACTTTCGTGCGTTCGATCGCTCAGTCGAGTATTTTCCGATAAGGAATTCAGTTTGGTACGCGCGTATAAAACGAAGTTTATCGGCTCGCATTTCGAGCGCTCGTGCGTATACACGAGAAAAAGAAGAAGAGGATGAAATAAGCAGTATTTAAAAGAATGATATTATGAAATATTCAATATTTTTCTTCCTCTCTTTTCTTCGTCGTACAGGTGGAGCAGGGCCTGAAATTGTATCGGGCGCACAAGCAGCAGGCGGCGGTGCGCAAGTGGCGCGGCGCCCTCAACAACATCGGCCGCCGCGAGGACAAGTTCGCCCTCCTCGGCTACCTCTATCAGGCTTACATGGATTGGGGCAAGTACAGGTTGGTACATTGAACATAAATGGTATACGGGCCAAACTACTCTGCGTTGTGAAAATTTAAGCAGTTAATTGAAAAATGAAAATTTCTAATATACTATTTGAGCGATATACTTTTTTAAGATAGTATTTGACGGAAAGAAATTAGAGAAAAATTATGCCAAATTTAAAAAAAGAATTGTATTGTGGCGAAAAACATATTTCAATTCTGTCTTATTCTCTGATTTGAAATTATAAATATGATTTTGGCTTATAAATTTAAATTTCCCTCGTGAATCAAATACTTTAATATTCACCCTATAAAAAAAGAATAAAATATCAAAAAAGCAAATCCAACTCTGAGGCTCTGTGAATTAACGACTAAAATTTTTGAATAATAACACGTGGTTATAGTTTCTACTTCATTTTGCGCCCTTACATAAACATCGTTTTTCTTCCTCTCTCGCTCCTTTCCTCGTCATCATCGTCTTCTCTCTCTCTCCTTTTTTTTACGACCGCGCTCGAGCGAGATTTACGCCCGCGCGATATCGAGCGCGAAAGTCTCGCGTACCTGGCCTTTTAATGACTTTCGTAGAAAAAAAAAAATTTTTTTTACTACCCTCGAGTATTTTTTTTATGCGTACTTGAACACCCACACGCACACACACTTACAGAGACAGCGTGGAGTTCAGCCATCGGCAGCTGTGCATCTCGGAGGAGCTCGACTCGCCCAACATGCGCGCCGAGGCCTATCTGAATCTCGCCCGGGCGCACGAGCGCCTCGGCGCCCTCGACCGCGCCCTCGGCTTCGCCCGCCACAGCCTCTACAACGAGTGCGACCAGTGCGCCACAGCGGGCCACGTGCACCTCACCGTGGGCCGCGTCCATCTCGAGCTCTCGGGCTTCTGCAAGGCCCTCGAGGCGTTTCAGCGGGCGCACAAGATCGCCCACTCCATACAGGATCCGTCGCTCGAGCTTCAGGTATAAAGCGCTTGCGTTCGCGAGTTCGTGTATTGAAACGTATATATAGCTCGTACTTTGTTGTTGTTGTTGTTGTTGTTGTTTTGGTGCCTACGGGGCATATCGTGCAAGTATTGCAACTTGCTCCGAAAAAGAACGACGATTTAATTACAAAGCTCGGCCGAGTCCAGAGCTATTTTGACACGAGCGTATGAGATTCTCGTCACTGTCTTGTATAACAAGTACGTGTCAGAAACTTCTGTGTATTTCTCGGTCATTTTTCTGGCCAACAACATGTGATATCGTTTGAATGACCATATTTTGAATTAAAATTCGTACGAATCATCGTTCAATCGGGCGTTCAATAAATGAAAAATAACCAATGTTGAACGTAAATTAAATTGAATTTATACAATTATATACAACTATTTCAACTGTGCCACTTACAGATTTACAGAAATAAAGGTACTCGCCATCTAGTGGCAGAGAATCTAAGTAGGATCAAAATAATTGAAAACTGGTCAATTTCGGATCATTTAAAATGCGCTGAATATTTTTAACGCTATTGAAATGACCTGACTCAAATTGCTAAAAAACAAGGCATTCTTTCGCCATTAGGCCAAGCGTTTCCACCAAATTATTTCCACCAAATTATTTGAAATAATTCTAATAATTTTTATTGTAGTATAATTTCTGCACACATGATACATCAGAAAATTGATTTTACTATACTTGAAAATTAGAAAAAAAAATGGCAACGACAGCAGCATCGGCAGTACAAAAGTAATACATATTATTCGTTCACGAGAATTGAATGCGAATTGAATGTAAGTCCGTATGCGTGGGCAGGACTCGAACCGAGCGCAAGCTAGAAATTGTTTTAGTTTTAATTCAGTTGTAAAGCTTCTCCTCGGAGCTAGCCCGAGACGACGGAGAAGTTGATGTATATTACGCGCGTACGCGAACTTGGGTCTGCGCCTTGCTGGAAACTCGAGAAGTTACGTGTACACTTGCTTGGCGCAGACACGCGTAGATATATATGTATGAGCACGAATTTAATCGATTACCAAAAATGTGCGCCTCAGGTCTACGTCGGCCTGTCGGAGCTGTTCTGCCGGCTGCAGGACGCCGACAAGAGCGCCAGATACGCGGCGAGGGCCTACGACCTGTCCAGGAGTCTGCAGCTCGGCGATCTCAACTCGCGGCATCATCGGGCGGCGCTGCTCCAGATGGCCGCGTCGCTACGGAAAAAGGGCGAGCTCGGCGACGCCCACGACTACTGCTCGGTAATGTCATTTTCATTTTTTATTTATTCATTCATTTTTGCTTCCTCATAGAGGAAGCTTTGTGACGGGCTGAATTTCAGCATTCGTAAATAAGCATCGTAGGGTCAATTCGATGATATATCCTTAAACTAGATCGAATTTCTGACACATGTTGGTATGTATGTATGTGTGTGTGTGTGTATGTACGTGTGTATGTCTGTGCAGAGTGATATCTCGATGACGGGAGGTCGTATCGTTACTGTAGATGGCTCATTTTCTTCGTAATTATGAAAGGAAGAAGCCAAAACATGTTTTTTTCTTCTAGGTTAAGTATTTAAAAAGTTATGGGGGTTTTTCGGAATTTTTTTTTTTTTTTTTGTCATTTTGTTCTATAATAAACCGGTTTTTCCTTATAAAAGTAATACTATTTTGAAAGAAGAGCTTTTAACTTTTCATTGAAGATGAAAATGGTAAAGATTCACTGTCGGGTTCAGAAGTTTTACATTCTGAAAAGAAATTTGGTTTTTTGGGGTGAATGTGTTGGGATGTGTAGTGATATATCGATGATGGTAGTTCGTATTTTTAGTGTAGATGTCTCATTTTATTTGTCTTGATGAAAGGAAGAAGCCAAAAAAACATTTTTGTTTCTGTTTTTTTTTGCTGACCTGGCCCAGAGTGTTATTCAAGGCGGCCCAATTCGTAACGGCCCGCCGGAAAAGTTCCCAAATTCCCAATGGCCAGTCCGCCTCTGAAGGCAACTTAAAAAATTTAAGGTCATGTTTTTCAATGCGATAAAGCAGAAAAAAAAATTTCGAGTTTGATTTAGGCTCGTATCGCTATATATAAATTTTCCAATTTTTAATTATTTTATCTGAAGGCCTGAAGTACTTGTTGATATGTACTTTTATGAATTTTTTTAGATTTTTTAATTTACATATTAATATTTCCAAATTATTTTTTTTTTTGAGGAAACTACCTTAATTGTTACGTCATCGTGAAGAAAATCGATAAAAATTATATATCAAAGAATAGAAGAACGTTGGCAATTGATTCCACAAACAGAAGTAATTTATGATTGAAACTGTTTTGTGAACAAATTAGAAAAGATGATATTAATATTTTCAAATTATTTTTAAGTTAAAAAAAAAGTATGAGGAAGCTACTTGCCAATACATTAGCAGCGGTTTCTTTTCTTCATCCTATATGGGTATATAAAATCCAACAAAAATAAACGAATGACACATTTTTTCTTTCAATTAATTTATTCGAATAATATGGAAAATATAAAGTATACACATGCTCATTGCGATGGCATTTTTCGGGCCTTATTACTAGCCGCGAAGCAAATACTACATAGATCTTTGTTCGTAAGTAATTTATCGATGATCATTTCGCAGCAGAGAATCGGCAGTCGTCCGTTTGTCAACTCGTAAAAACAATCCAGGGCCCAGCTTCGGAAAAATTCTCTCGTTATTGTTTCGCACACATAAGCGACACTAGCCATAACTTCTTCAGACGTGTACATTCTACGCACGGATGGTGTTAAATTCTTACGAACGAATAAGGTTGAGCGTAAATAATCACTGCGGATTGCACATAGGAATTTCCAGAAGTCCACAAGTTTTAATCGTTTTTCCATGGTTTTGGGTGGCAAACGAATCAAGTCGTAAAGCGACATACTGGGAATTATCATAATAGTTTTCGCATCGCTCACGAACTTTTCTTTGTCAAACCAGCATTCTTCAATTTTGGTCGAATATTTGAAAGCCCCATTCATAGTCAAAACTCGCATGATCGTCAAGGCGTCGCTTCGGTCCAACTCGTATCCTCCTTCCTCGAGACGTTCGACGCAGGCCACAGCGCCGGACATTACTCTTACTTTAAATTCATCGTGTGGAATTTTATTTTTCATGAAGAACTCACCGAAATGTATCTCGGCTGGAAAAACGAAACTGGACAAATCGGCGCCATTGGTCAAGAGTACATCGACCAAGTCCGGCCTGATATTCGCCACGGCTAATTGCAACGGTGTCGTGCCCTCCTTGTCCTTGGCGTCTATCTGCACCGGCCGCCGAACTTCCTCGCACACCTTCAGGAATGTCTCCATTGACATTTCTCCAAACATCCGGTCGTGCTTCTGACAAATGACGTGCAAGGCGTTGGCCAGATTCGGATCGGCGCCGTTTCGAAGCAGCGATTCGACTGTCTTCTTCTTGTCTCTGTACAGAGCTAATTTCAGGGGTGTTTTTCCAAATTTGTCCCTGGCATCGACCTCTACCGTCCGCTCGAGGTCGTCGCAGGTTCTGAAAAACAATTCCGCCACCTCGTCGTCGTCGTCAAGCATTCTCGCACTTATGATATGCAACGGAGTCAAGCCTTCTTCGTTGGCCAGGTTAGGATCGGCACCATGTCGTAGAAGTAACTCGGCCGCTTCTTTGTGGCCGTCGAGGAGGGCCAAGTGCAACGGTGTGCTGCCCTTCTTGTCCTTGGCGTCTATCTGCACCGGCCGCCGGACTTCCTTGCACATATTTAGGAATATCTCCATTGTGATATGAAACATTCGATTAGGTGGCTTTTGACAAATTACGTGCAAAGGCGTCGATCCCTCGGCGTTGGCTAGATTTGGATCCGCGCCATTTTTTAACAGACTTTCGATCCACTTCGTATGACCTCCGGTCACAGCAAAGTGCAGGGGCATTGTTTTTCCGCACTCACGCACAAACGGAGTCACTGAGAATCAAAAAAAAAGTATTTAATTTTTACACAAAAATAAAAACACGTGTTGCAGGATCGATACGATATTTTCCAGTTGTTCGCTCTTCGGCGTCGTAATAGCTACTGCAGAGTAATGACTATTGGAAAGTGTATGTGACTTCACTGGGCATCGTGTTGCACATTACTTTCTAAAATTAATGATATCTGTAACGGAGGCGGGGCTATGACACGATGTATGTACGTGCCAGCTGATGATTCGTTTCTGATGTGTTCTATTATTTTAAAATACAGATTGCAACGACGTCATGCCACGACTCATCCCAATACAGAGTATTAATATATATATCTCTGAAATTAGACTGATTTTAGTCGTCGGTGTCGAAAAAGAGAAAACTTTGTAAAATGACCTAGAAAGTGTATCAAAGTGCGGGCTAATGCATTAATCGAAAAAATCTTTCCATCAAAGAATACAGACATTTAATTCACGTTAATTTTAAAGCTAATTGCATTAAGAGCACATACACGGATAAAAATTAGTTACGACACTTTTTCCTATATCTTCGAGAAACATTACTATACTAATACAAAGTACCTATGTACAAAAGAAAACAATATCTTATGTAAACAAAAAAGTACTGTGTTAAATAGCATAATTGTCACGTCGGGAGACGGGACTTTTGTAACCTTACGGTTACGGTGGTCTTGTGTAAAATTTTTAGTGCCAAGACGAGACGTCTTATAGCACAGGGTATATTTCCGAGTACTTATATGGTTCAAAATATCGTAATTTATCGAAAGGGAGAAAGGGTCACTTTCCACAAGGCGAAATGGTTACCCATTGATCGCTTCGGGGCAGTGATGTCATTAGGAGTTATATTTGTTTAAGGTATTCATTTATTTAGAAAGGAAAAAAAATAAAATAATAAGTTAGAAGCAAATAATTTAAATAAAAAAAATAGATATATTATTCTTTTATAACTTACATTGTTGAGATGCTGCAGGCGTCGTGACACAGGAGCAGAGGCACAGAGGCTGTGGCACAGAAACAGAGGACACTGAGAACTGAGAGACCCGCACTGGTCGGAGTCGCGAACGAGATTGATTGAAAATTTTTAGATAGAGAGAATCAGTTATAGATCTTCGATGTGTAACTTTTCGTTTGTAACGGCTTCGGTGGCTAAAAAACTATGGGAACTCTGTTTCTGTGAGACTTGCGTCTTTGTCTCTGCCTTGGTGTCACGAGCAGCCTGCAACTCGTCTATCGACACATATGTTGTTATTCGAACTCTGATCTTCTAGATCGTTCGATTTAATTTTCTATTATATTTTCTATTTTTATTTAATAGCAAAAAAAAGAAGGTTGATATTCATAATAAATAATAAATAATAAATATTAACTTAAAAAATATAGTTTGTAATACATAAGGAATAATTTTCTATCGACAGCGAGCCATCTCATTTTTACTGCATCTCTGACGAATTAAACGTTGGGAAAAGGATCTGGGTTTTTGATTATGCTTATAGATGAATTATTTATGGGTGTGCAATTATAGCGGTTGTTTATACGTAAACAATAATGTAGAAAATGTTGTTCATAGTAAAATCAGAGTCAATGCGCGTGAGAACATTGAATCTTCGACGGTTGCACCGGGGGCCATGTGGCTTATATTCAATTTGACAGGCCCGGGATTCGATATATTTCGTTTACCGGCCAACTTTGTAGAGATAGGGTTGCCTATTTTCTGGGGTTTTTTGATTTTTGATTTATATCGCATTTTTAGAGGCGATATCACAATAATCCGTGATGTAATTTAGATCGATAAATCGCCAATAGATGGCGAACGATGACTCTTTGGCAAAACTCCCAAACGACAAGTAATTTTGCCGATTATAAAGGTGCAGCAAATCTATGGTCCTTCTTATAGTAGACCGAAAAAATGTTCTCCTAAATTTTCCGCTCAGCGCAATGACTTACCAGCTCGAATGATTTTAAAGCGATACTCCATTAACCGTACACTTTCGTGGGGCCATGATTATAGCGACAAGCGTTCTGTATATTCAAGAATTTTTTCTTCATTTTTTTTTTCGTCCTTATTTTTGACGCTCAGGTATATATATACATCTTTTCTCGAGGCAGCGAGATGCAAATGCGACACGCGCCTACCTCTGCCAATATGTTTACAACTTCGAAGTCGCTTCGCGTTATATGCCGCACCAGATATGTGTGTGTACGCGTCTCGCATTTGGGAAACTTTGCTGTACGTGCAGCAGCAGCATCGGCAGCAGCGCCCGAGTATAATATCGAATTTCACGAGAAAAGTTACGAGGCTCTCGGAGGCGAATAAAAAAAGAACGGGGGTAAAAACATTTGATATTATATACACGTAAAAGTGCACGCAACCCGCACAAAATTTGCACTAACTCGATCGAGTGCATTAAAGAAAAAAAAAAAAAACAACGACAAAGTAAAATTTTTTTTCGTAAAATAGAAAAAACATTCAAGCTTGTCAGCGTGGCATTACAATATCATTTCTCCAGAGAGACCTTCAAAAGGATGAAATAAAAAAAAGAAAGAAACAATTTCACGAACTTTATTCCGATTTTTTTGTTGTCTGTTTCATGCCGCAAACTTTCGTCACGCTTTGGAAATGAAAAAACAAAAAAAAAACCGATTTTTAACCAACGCAGGAAGCGACACGCCTGTCCCTGGTGTCCGGCGACCAAGCGAGCTACGCCAGGAGCATCCGAATAATGGGCGACATTTACAGGCACAAATCGGAAATTAACGTGAGTACATTAATATCCTGAGCTTTCTCTACTGGCGTGTATGTATGTATGTGTGTGTGTGTACGTGTGTGCATAATGCAACTCAACGCTTGAATTTATAATATCTTTTATCTCGTTCTCTCGCACGAGAGAGCATGACTATATAGAATTTGTTTACTCAAGTCTACGAGGCCAAAGAAATAAATGATCCCACAGCGACTGTATATAGCCAGAGAGAGAGAGAGAGAGAGAGTAAAGAGTAATGTGTATTTATGTAAGGGTAAAAAAAGGGCACATCCACTTGATTGCGAGAGATCCCCGCAGTAACAACGGCGGGCATTGAATTTCATTGTTTATTTTATTGCCCTTATCTACATTCTCCGGGTAAAAAAATCAAGGAAAAATACTCTCTTTCTTTTCTCTCTCTCTCTCTCTCTGTCTCTGTCTCTCAAGAGAAAGACTCTCTGCGCGAATTTATCTTCGTAAAACTGTCGCCGCTATAGTACTGTACTGCGGCACAGTCGTAAAAGCAATCGCGCGCGAGATACAGCCTTTTTGCGTATTATTGTAAATATATATTTCACGAAACGTCCGATATATAAATCATCGCCGCGAGGCTCGACTTTTTTTAGAGATCGTTGCAGGCGGCCGCGGTGCAGCGGGCAAAGGCCAATATATGATATATATGTACGGGGGCAAGAGTTGGTACACATCTACCGATGCAAAAAGGCATGCGCGCGCTTATAAATCATGCGAATATAGATATGGGCTATTCCATGCCAAAATATAGCGTTGAAACTGCATCGAAAAATGAAAATTGTTAAAAGTTTAGTTCTAGAGGCTCAAGGTTTGATTTTCAATTTTTAAAGTCAATTCTTCTTTTCTCGGTGCGCGTACGAGGTATTTGAATCACGATAAAAAAATTAATGAAGAAACTGATAGAAAAAATTCGACAGCCTTCGAAGTATCAAAAAAAAAAAAAAAAACGTGGAAAATCATATGTGAAAAACAGTCGGGAGAGTAAAATTAAACTTTGAACCCCTGTAGATCAATTCAAAATGAACCTAATTGGTTTAAATGTAATTTTCGTGGAATAGCCCATGTACTTACGAATCGTTTACGACGACTAAAAAACCCAAACTTTTCTCATATATGTGTGTGCGTACGTGTGTATATTTACATGAATGTTCAACGACGTATCCACACCCCATATATAGCCATTTTATCTCGAAACCCCGTAACGCGTTGCAGAAAGCATTCCGTCAGTACGAGAGCGCGATGGGCTCGGCCGCGGCGACGGGCGATCGCCTCTGCCAGATGGAGGCGATGGACGGGGCGGCTCGCTGCCTCGAGGCCCTACGGCTCCAGCACAAGATCTGCAACTGCAAGCCCCTCGAGTTCAATACACGGCTGCACGAGGTCGCCAGCTCGGTGGGCGCCAAGGTACGCTTCGATCTATTTCAGATCTATATCAGATCTAATGTCAGAGTTGAGTCGAGTATCGATATAAATTTCGCCCTTGATTAATTTAACGATAAATTTATTAATAATTGAAATTTTATAATAAATTTAGTTATATTTTGAATTTTGATAATCATATTTGAGTTTTTGATAAAGTAAGATTCAATTGATTCAATAAGATTGAAAAATTGAGTTAAGATTGAAAATTGTGTAAGATTGAAGTAATTGAAAAACATGAAAATGAAATGTTAAAATTGAAGTTTTTTGTTTTTGATGTAAAATTATTTGTTTCGAGTCTTTTAACACCAGAAAACATGTTTTTAGTACTTTTATTATTTAAATTAGTCCAGTCAGCACCTGACTTGACTTATCATTACAAAGCTCAATGCCACATGTATCTGAATGGAATCTTTGAACATTCTTTATCCTAGAGGTCTTAAAATGTTCAAGTTTCTCTTATAATTCTCTTCCACTTATGTGTAACAGAATTTCAAAAAAAAACTAGAAATTTTTTTTCATACCAACATAATATAACATTAGATCTGATGTTCGATTTAATGTGCACTCATCAGAACTTACATCAGTTATGTAGTCGGATTAAATATACTATTTTCATTCACGACCACTGGACGTAATAAACATTTTTTATTAATTTTCCATCGTCAGCTGCTGATGCGCACCGTGCGCGGCCGCCTGTCGAGGATCTACGGCTCGCTCGGCGACGAGGAGCAGAAGGCGCACTTCGAGCGGGCCGCCGCCTCGATCGAGGAGGACCTCGAGCTGCGCTGCGGCGGCTGCGGCGAGCCCTTCGGCCTCGAGACGGACTCGCTCGAGGCGCTGCCCTGCTCCCACATACTCCACGCGAGGTAAGTTATACACAAGAGATTAATATTACACAAGACGGAAACTCTCTCTCTCTCGGCGAGCTTATAAATTGCGATGCAAAGTTTACTATATTGTCTAGAGCGCGCGTTAATCCGAGGCCCGCGAACCCAAGTTTACGAAAGCCGGGGGATTTGTTGTCTGAAGGGAAGGAAAGAGAGGGAGAGAGAGTAAGTCAAGGATTAAGACGAACTTGCGCCCTCGATGTTTCGTCTCTTGCTTTGCGAATTAAAGGATCTTATACCGTCTTGGACGAGTGAAAAAAAAAATTAGTTAATTACATGTGTAAAAAATTGATGTATGGAAAGTATTAAGCTCGACCAAGAGGGTATGAGATCCCTTAATTCGCAGAGCAAGAGACGCAACATCGAGATGGGTGTGGCCCTTATGACTGTAAATACATGCAAGTATGCAGAGCGAGTTTTGATTGTGGACAAATTGACGAATCGATGGACATTTTTTTTTAATAAGTACGAAAAACAATGATTTAGGTTTTTTTTATGTTGTCCATGATAATCTTGAAAATCAAACTTTTGAAAAACACTAGTTCCAGCAATAAAGAGCGTCTAATTATAATCCTAATATTGACAGAATTGAGAATTTAGATGATTCTTGCTAGTATAAGCAATTCAATAATACAATCTTTGGTAGAAATGCTCAACATTAATAATAGCCTGACGAGCGAAAAATGAATATTTAGCATTTTTCAAAATACAATACCATTAATCAGTTGTTTTTGTGACTTTTGTCTTAAGATTATATTAAAAATACATCAAGACTATTAAACAACCTGAAAAAGACAATTTGATCGTTTTAAAACATTGAAACTAGTTGGCAATCGCTTTAAATACGATAATATTACTTTGAGCCTTCACCACTAGATGGCGAGTACCTTTATCTTTTATTCTGCAAATGGAAGAGTAAACGTAATTGTATAAGTCAATTACATTTCATAATTATACAATTTTGAAATATAACTACGAATACTTTATAATTGTATAATTATGAAATATAATTAGGTTCATATCTACATAAAATTTTTTCAATGAATAAATTCAATTTGATCGATGTCGAAAGTATGTTCAAACGGAAATTTGAAACGATTTTGTACGATCAAAAAATGTTCATTAAAAATACGTGGAACGCGTTCAGTTCCGAAAGTATCAGCTGTAAAGTAAACCTTTTAATTCGTTTAAAACCATATAGCCACAAAAATGCCCAAACATTATTTCATCCGTTTCCCCCCTGTTAACGCAGATGCGCCTACGACATCCTCAAGAAGCGCGACAAGAAGAAGAAGCGCCTCTGCCCGGACTGCCACAAATCCGTCAGCTCGCGGCTCTATCTGCACTGCGACGACGCGGGCGTGGGCACGAGCGGCGTCGGCGGCGGCCACGGCGACGTCGTCAATCCGCTGCTGCACCAGAGCTCGCTGAGTCTGGCCTCGTTGCGCGCCAGCAGCCTGGCGACCCTCGAGGATTGCCACGCGACGAGCAGCGTATAACGGCAGGCCCTCGGCCCTCGAGGCGGCGGCGGCGGTGGTACGAGCAGCAGCAGCAGCAGCGAGCTCAAACGACAGCTGAGGCAGCAGCGACGCGCCAAGAGCTACGAGGCCGAGGACGACGACGACGACGACATCATAACCACGACTGTTTAAAAAGGAAGAGAGGACGATTGAGTTGATTATGTGTAATATATGATTTTTGACAGCTGCGCCCTGCACAATCTTATATAATATAAATAATGATGTATTGCAACGATACATGTGTCGTATACGAGCTTGTTTACGTTGTTGTTTATTGTTGTTGTGGATTTTTTTATTTTATAACAAATATGTGTGTACAACTAAACGACGACTCATAAATACTATATCAATATTCAGAAGAAAAGAAAGAATTCTAAATATATGTGTGTGTAAGATGACGATATATCTGATAAAACTATTTTGCCATCGGTTCCTAATTAACACGTATACATAAAATAAATACTCATTGCGTTACCGACGTTAGTCGTTCAATGATTTTTCTGCCTAAATTTCTACGTATCGTAAGGATAAAAATAAAAGCGCGTGTAGATAAGTGCCAATTTGACGGACGAGGGGAGAAAATGATTAAATAAATACAGGTCGATCGCGCCAAATTAGTCGATTAATTTTTGTTTTGTTTCGTTTTTCAGGGCAGTGATGTGTACACGGAATTCGGATTCACAATTATATATAATAATCTTTCAATGGATATAAAAATGTACTATTAATGATCGTTCCGATGAAGTATTAGTAAGAGCCTCGCCTATATAATAATAATAATATTAATAATAATAAATACGATAGATTCACGTGCATCAGAAAAGTCTCTCAGTGGGTACGAAATTATTTTTGTATCAATTAATCGTCGGTGTGTATACATCGTGTAACGCACGCACTGCCCTGAAAACGTACCGAATTTATATTATATGATTTCGGCCGCGCGGATAAAAGTGCAGAAGAGACGAACTATGTGTCGATGTTCCATAATTGATATTTAACTAAGAGAAATCTACCTAACGATTCGTCGGTTGCAAGTAGCTGACAAACAATTCGCACGTATTGATGTATGAAAAAAAAAGATGAAGAAGAGAGTATATTATAAATATTATAAATACGAACGATATATATATTTAGATGTATATAAATATTTTTTACACGTTCAAATAAAAACGAGGGAGTAAAAAAAGGGTGCTGTGCGTAAAACGTTTTATCGATAAAAGAGGAAGGGGCGACGATAAGGAGGAATATCTTAATATAATAAATTTAAAGAGATGAAAAAAGAGTCATACTCGAAAATAACCCTTGACGATGGTTACTAACAACGAAAAATAAATTATACCTATATGCTTCCCTTTACGCGAGGTGAAAGAGAATCCTTTTAAATTTTCTTTTTCTTATTTAGTTCCCGTCCGAGTTGTATTTCAACCGAGCCCATTCTGGATTTTTCATGTGTAATTTTGCTCGAAAGTTATGTAAACTTTTCAATTTATAAAAAAAAAAACTCCTCGTCAACGAGTTTGTGATCGACTTCGTGCATTTCCGATGATAAATATAATATATTTCTCAGTCGTAAAAAATCTTTTTCAATTTTTATTACTAACGTACGTTCGTATATGAAAAGGTCTCAAAATAATAGTCAAAACTTGAATAAAAAAAAACTTCGTACTTGTTTTAAAAGCGAATAAATCGTAATTTGTATATATTTTACAATATACTGTTTTGCCTTGACGAGAGTTCATATAACAAAAAAGTACTAAATAATTGTCAGAATTCAAATGTAACGTCATATACGCATAATTAATAAAACTGATATTCAAGAAAAAAAATTATAAGATATAGATCAGAAAAAGTATCTTAAAAAAATTTCAAAATAAAATCCAATAGTTCGACGTGAATAACTAAAAAGTGGATAAATGTTTAAAAAAAAAGGCGTTCAAGTACGAGATGAAAAATAAACAAATTAACTCAACTTATAATATAAAAGTAAACGCAAGTAAAAAAAATCGAGCACACCTTGTAGCGCGTAGTCGTTCGACACACACACACACAATCCAACAAAGATACCTATAAGGGGCGAAGAAAAAACGCGTTAATAGAAATCCGATTTGTAAGTATAAAAAAAAAGTTAACCCAAAAACCTGCAAAAAAGTGTTTTAAAGATTACGAAAAAAAAATGTGTAAACGAGAATGAACTTATAAATATTACCTCGTAAGTCGTCGAAAAAAAAGTTGTTAAGTAGGTTTAAAATCAATAGCCAAAAACCGCTGCGTAATGATAACCAAAAACGAAATGCGTTTTGTAAATCGGTATTCGGGGCGCTGCATCCAAGAAAGTATAAAGATTATGTGCATGCAGAGCGAGAGAAAATGTGCTTATGAAATCGTGCGGTTATATTATAAATATAGTGTCGAAACAAAAATCTCAAGATTATCGTCTGAATGATTTTTTTCGTTGGTCATAATTTTGCAGGTTCAACTCCACAATTACCCTAAATATATTATACAAAAATTATAATAATACGAGATTTATTATATCGAGCGTTGTTGTGTATGGAATTTGGCGAAAAATAAAGATTATTTTAGGAAAGTAAAGAATAAAAAAAACACGACTCTCTTTCTTGCGTTATATTTTACCATTATACCCTTGCATTAAAAAGTCAGCCGGCCGCGCGGCGCAGCAAGGCCAAACGAAGGTGAGTCGTTAATAATCATTATTTCTCGTAATTATGCGTAATATAGCGTACTTAAATTTTTTCGAGGGGCTCCGAAACTTTTGCGTCGAGAGGTGAAAAAGAGTCGCTAATTTCCAACGGCGGAATTAACGACCAGATAATGGGATTTTTGCAAATGTACGCGAGCGTGAAAGAGACTCGCGTTAAGAAGAAAAAAAGGAAAATTCATTCGATTGCCAAGAGAGCACGAGAGGCTCTGGTATAGCGCTCGACTTTTAATTGGCCTGAATTTCATTGCTTTATTGTTACACTAATGGAATTAGCTATTCCTCGAGAAATTCAACTTTTGTTTTCAATTGTCCCGCGTTATAATCTCATTGTCGTATTGTATTCGAGGCAGTTTTAGGAAATTTCACGAATATAATGTCGCCAATGTTAATTCAAATAAATTTCAACAATCGATGTAACGTAAATTGCAATTTTATTTTCATTTTCTTTCTTTAAACATAAATGGAAGAACATTTAAAAATAATCAGAACAAAATAGAGTTTTAAATGATTCTTTCGCACGGCGTGATAAAAATCATGAAATAAAATATGTGCTTCAATTAAAAAAGTATGAAATTTAATGACGGATTTTTGCGCATTCTTTTTTTTCAAGGCTGCTTCCAGAAGACATAAGACATTATTCAATCGAGCAACCAACGCCGAATTTCATTGAAAAATTTATACTCGCCATTGAAAAATCGTGTGTGCAGTGCGCAGCTCATGAACACTTGCCATTAAAACATGATTGTAATTAAATACGAGCCAAATTCACCAATGACGTTTTTCACATTGAGTTCATTATAATTTTTTTCTTTTAAATATTAAGACTAAATGACGAGATACGAATGCACATCTTTTTACATATTAAATAGTTATAAGAAATGTCATAGTTTTATTATTTGCTTGTTATCTCGTTTCTTCAGTCGTTTTTTTTTTTATATTCGTCTGCATAATTCAGACACGGGCATATTGTTACAGTATCAAGTTGAGACATCAATGTACAAACTGTATGTGAGCATTAGTAATCGTAAAAATTTCATCGACGATAATAGCCTAATTTTTGCAACGATGATGAGTAAATCGAGGTTCCTCATTCATTTCTCACACACATTCTCATGTACTACAAAACACAACTTTAAATATTGCAGTAGCTGTTTCAATGCAATAATATCTATTGAGTGTTAAATTCAAGGGACATATTTTAGAAAGCGATGTAAATCTAGGTTTACATAGGTTTTACAAGATAAAATAAACAGAACACGATCTTTGACGCATCATATTAGTTCTATCGTCCTTAAAGAGAATTTATAAAATAAAATATATTTTTTTACACTTTTTCTCTACTCCAAGTAATCAAATGACTTATTTTGAATTCTCAAATAAAGCATCAACCCCTAAATTTTAAAGGCACATAATAGTAAAAAATTAGATTTTACGATCATATTTCTTAATGAAGCTAATTATTTTAATAATGAGTAATAATCATGATAATAGTTATAATTTATATGACCTAGTATAAATTACGTTAACATTAATCAGCAAGAGATTTTTTAAATCAATTGACATTTAAGAGAGGTTTACAGATTAGTAACAAAAAGATAATATTAATGACAATTTTTTTTAATAGTCATTCATACGACAAGTCGTATACTTTGTTTATATTTGAACAGTACAAACCTAATTATTTGCAAATCTATACATAATTTAAAATAGGTGTAATTATCATTATTTTTTTTTTTTCATTTTTTTCTTTTTTTTATACAATTTTAGTTATCGCATGATCAATTACTTTTTATTCCATAACTTTTGCAATTTTACATGAAAACAAAAATCAAATTATAGAACAAATTATAGTAAAAAATTTCTAACTTATACGCTTTAGAAAATAATATTTACGGTACAAGTTATTGCGATAAAAATAAATTCAAAGTTTCTAAGCATTGAATTAAAAATATTATTACATTGAATGCGACTTCGTGAAACGCCGAAACCAAATGATTAAAGTTTTGTTTAAATTTGCACACTTGCAATGTATTTTTTGTTACAATGCTGATATTTATGAAATTTATATATTTTTATATATATTCTTATATCCGATCATTTTTTTCGAGCGAGACTATATACAAGCTAAACATACTTACATAGTTACATACATTAATTTTTCGTGTTAAATTGATATCTCTATTTTCTTTTCAAAACCCTACCACTCACAATTTTATACGGAGAAAAAATTTAATAAGTTTCTTGTTAATTTGTGACCCCTCAATCAAATTCATTATATTTTTGATGCTCTTGTGCGTCGCGGGGTTCATGAATATACTCGTATTTAATATTAAAAAAGAAACATCACTTTGTCATTCTTTGACGTTTGTTTTTGCTTTTTAACATATACATATAGTGCCTAATTACATTACATTTAATAATTTTTTATTTCAATCCATTAAAGGAGCTGCGGAAACTTAAAACGTAATCAAGTCATATTTGGCATAATATTTAAGTTTTAAGAATCACGTCTACTTATTATTATACATTTTGTCCTCAAGAGTTTTTTAACATATGAATTCTTGAGACTTCTCGGCTAAGTGCACAACAAAAGTAGCTAAAGATAATCAATAGTCAATAATGAGTCAATACATTCATTGAATTTCAGCAGCTTCTTTAAAAATTAAGGTCAAAATTGAAGATTTTGACTTGTATAATTTTCGTTATAAGCATGAGGTTTCATTACCTTCATGAGTCCTTTCATATATTTTATCATTCACACAACACAATTTATTCATATTATTAATTATAATTATTCGATGAAGAAAACTAGTATGTTAAACACACGATATCAGCGCCATTTAATTGAGTAAAAACTTAAAAAGGCCTGCATGAACAATTCATTAAATTAAATGCATCTTTCAGCACACTTCAATTGATACGTAAAAAAGGTGACGATAATTCATTATTTCATTGGAATTTTTATAAAAGTAAGTTATATACTTTATACCATAATCATCTATTCACCATTTAAGTTGTTTTTAACCCAAAAAGACTTTTAAACGAAGTGTAAGATTATTCAATAATTTGCTTGACATTATTATTTTGTTTTTAGCAACTAGATCATAGCAAAACCCTAGAATTGCTACTTCCATTTTAAGAGAAAAAACTGGGCAACTGTAACATAAATATTCTTTATCAAACAAAATGATAAGAAAAATATAAATAGTTGCAAACAAGAATGAGAAAACTCAATAATTGTTAAATAGATAATTATGAAAGACAGTCAGTTATCACGAATTTTTCATCTAATTTCTCGACTGATTTTGTTAATTAAGATAAATATTTATGTGGCTCTCTATTACGAAGTAATAGCGCAATTAATTAATCAAATCTATTCTACACGACATGCATTCTAAATTCTTATAAACATACATGAAGTTAATTCTGTTAAACGTATCCCTCATCAATTCTCATGAAAAATTGAACGACTTAGTCAAGGACTCATTAGTTTTTTCTTTTTAGAAGTCATCTCTTTCTTTAAACAATTATGATCGACTTTGAAAACTCATGCTTTTTTTAGCACAATCAAAATCGAATTGTCTCCGCAGTCATTACTATTAGGTTTTAGTAGTTATAAGAAAAATTTTGATACGGCTTTTATCGAGCAGCGTTCGAGTCACTGAAGTGTAGCTCGAAACTGTCCAGATACTTTTCGGCTCCGTGTCGGCGCAAGTGCGTTTTAAGTAGCTCGACGTCAATGGACTCGCATGGCGTGACCGTCGGCGAGGCAGGTATATTCTGGGAGATGCACTTCAAGAATCTGGACCACAGATCGGTGAATATGCCTGGAATCGACGCTTCGTAAGAAGACAGCTCCTCGGCATGCTTTATCATGAGCGACAGCATTGATATGCCAAGCTGCAAAAGAAAATTTACTCCGTCAAGTATTTTATCGCGATATGAGCTAGTTCGAAGGTTTAATTCAATGTGTACTCTACCTTGTTGGTGAAAGCGAACGCAAGGCTATTGGTCTTGCTAGCTGTCTGGCTAGATGACTCGATGAACTCCTTTGCTAGGTTCATAAGCATTGCAAAACTTATGCAATTTTCATCGACCCACTTGTGAAATTCAGGATAGAGGTTTATTAGTAAGTTTGAATCCCTTCTACCGATAATAGCTAAGCCTTTGATAACAGCACCCCACAATTTTACTAGTTTCAATTCTTGCTCTTTGACATCTACACACGCGAGGAAGCGCAAAAAGAGTGTCTGTAACATAAAAATTAGCGTTAAAGTCTAAACTTCTATACTATAGAGTAGCACTTGTTATTAAGTTAGCAAAAAAATACTTACTTTGCCCTTACGAATACACAAAAAACTAGAAAATTTATCGTCTTGCACTAGCCGCAAAAGTGATTCTAATATTTGTACAATTAATTCTTCCTTTTCTTTCAGAATATCACGATGCTCAGGTGGGGGCACTGGTTTTCCGGTTTCTAGAGCTTGCAACTGAGCTCGCTCCCTCATCTGTTGCTCACGCTGCTGCTCAGCAATTATAGCCAAGGGATTACTTTTGTCTTCGAGTTTTAAAACCATCATATATAGCTATGGATAAAAAAGCATGTTAGTTGCATATTTTCTAAATATGTTTTGAGTAGTTGCGACAAAAAAAATATAAATTACCCTTTCAATTTCCAACAGTAACTGACGAGTTTTTTTAGTATCTTTCTGCTGAATCGAAAGCGCCGATTGAGGGTCACTGTTTGGAACGACATCCATGTCGATAATTTTCCTTGGTGCTGTGACACTACTATACTGCAACTTACCCAATGAATTTTCAAATTGCATTGGAGTATTTGGATTCTTTGTAAAAGTTGTGTTTTGTTCCTTGTCCCTAATAAAGTATTTCATGTGTTAATACAAGAAAAATTATTTTTTCATAATATTTATAAAAGAAAAGGAGCTAAATAAAATTACCTTGAATCTCTATTGAAACCATTGTTGTTATTGCTGCTGTTAGAGCTTTTACCATTGCTAGATTTTTTGTTGTTCATATTAAGTTTTTTAATTTCATTTTTCTTGTTTAATCTATCACAAAACACAGTGTAGTAATAATCATCAATGTAGGGCTGATTTGTATTGAGTTGCAACAATTGTATGTTATTCAACCACTGTTTCTCCCTGTTATTCATTAACCCGGCATATTCATCATATTCACCATACTGATTGACATTGTTGTGCATGTTATGATGATTATTCATATGATGATTCATATGGAGCATTGGATGGCTTTGATTGGGAAAGAACCTATTTTGATTTTGTTGTGGAAATCTATTGTCTCTAAAGAAAGGTTGATGGTTGTTTTGATTGCGCTGGTTGGCCATGTGCATATTGTGTTGCATAGGATGAGGTATCATGTTGTTATGATAGAGTGGCATGTGCATACGATCTGGTCCCATGAATGGCATTGGTCCAGGCCTATGGTTTGGAGGTGGATGCTGTAATAAAAAATTTTATATTTAATTTTGCAAGTTCTTATTTCACAGTAAAAATATTAATTACTATTGTACTTACAGGAAAATTGTTCATTGGAAAGTTGTTGTGGGGCGGTCTTTGATTACCTTGGTTCATCATGATGTGAGGTGGTGGCATAGGAGGATACCTCATCATATTGCCTGGTTGATCTAAGGTGAAAACATTAAGTTCATGTTATTGATTATTTTTCATCTAGTTAAATAATAATTTCAAGTAATCTATAAAAAAGAATAGTCAACATACTTGGCATGTGACGAGCATTTTGTTGGTGAAACTGAGGTGGTGGCATTGCAAGATTTTGAAGTCCTGCATTGTTCATGGATGGAAATTGATTGATTGGCGAACCAACTCCTCCATTAGTTTGTGGTGGATATTTATTCATTGATGATAAGGAACCAAGAAATAGGTTAGCTCCAGATGCAGGTGCTTGTTGCGTTTGTGATTGGGATGATATAGGCTTAGTGAGACCTGGTGGTGGTCTGTTGGTAATGAGGTCTCTCTCCAATTCTTCCACTGTGCATGCATTTTTTAAAGCAGCTAATGGCTTTTGAATTTGTGGAGGTGCTAATGCAAAATGAGGACTATCCCAAACTCCAGGCTTTGGAATGGTAACTTCCCTCTCATCCAGAACTAAGTGAGACAATGTACTTGCTACATCGATCTCGGGTTCACTCTGAAACAATAAATATTGCAATTGAAATTTTCTAATATCATTTAATCCATACTGGTACAAAAATGATAGTATTCTTACCTTTTTAGGTCCCTTCTTATTTTTTGTTCTATTAGACTCTGTGATCTGGGCGAGTTTTTCGTGGGCCTGCTCCCAATCTCCGCCCGTTGCCTCAGATCCAAAAGTTTCATCGTTCAAGGCATCATAGTCCTCTCCTAAATCCTCGTCGTCTAAGAAACAATCCGATTGATCATCTACACCAGCCTGGAATAAAAATGTTCAAGAACATTGATGAGTGACATTTATGAAAATGTACATAATGTTTAACATAAGACAAGGCTTTTAATTCAAGAATCGAATTGATTACTCCGTTCCCTACCAACTCTCATTCTGGATATCAAGTTGTATAGTTTTCTTATCAGCTAATTCATTCCAGCCAATGAGCATTGAAAAAATAGTAAACAAAAACTCAGCGTGTACACAAGCGGCCTTCAAGAAATCTTGATGAAAGAATATAACAGTATACTAATCGGTCATAAGCATTTCTGAAATGATGTTCATTCAGAGCCTACGATGGGTTATTACAAGCGTTATTTATAGGGCTAAGGAAGATTTGTGAATCATCTCGTTATTTAAATTTTAGTTTTATTCATACATATTTTATCAATCAAATCAAAGCCACATTCGCAACCTGATGTAATACCAAGTGCAAGGTAAATTTCATCCGTAAACAGCAACGGATTGCAGTGTCAAAGGGGCCGGTCTACGTGAATTTTTTCCAGATTTTTTTCGTGAGATTCTTGGCTTTCCTTTTCTCAAGAAAAGAAAATAATCGTAACATTTTCTCGCCGAAGCAAGACCAAGAAATACAGCTGCTGATGCTGTTGGCTCCTCCAGCGTCGGCTTGCACCCACGCGGCGAGAGCCCATCGTTAAATACACGAGGAAAAAAAGGTGAAATTGAGTCAACGCGTGAGAGAGAGAGAGTCGGTTTTCACGAGTCGGAGTTTTTCCACGCGGGGGGCCCCGAACACGACACGAGTGCAGTAGCAGCAGCTTTTTTTTCAACGTCGCGGGATCGCCATAAACAATTATTAGTTTTACTATCCACTTACCCCGAGGCTGGTGTCGAACTCGAAGAAAAAATCTGCCATTGGTTGTTCACGAATGAGCTCACTGTCATGATCCATCCGGGGGAGCCGACGTAGATATTGCACACTTTTTTTTGTCGGTTAACTTATACAGTCGATGAAATGTCACGCCGTATTTCTACACAAGAGAATGGCCGAGTCGACACGATTTTACACAACAAGTCTCTTCTATCTCTGCGCTGCTGCCCTCGAGGAGACTTCGCCACGATTTATTATAACTCTCGACGACTGCGCCTCGACGAAGCCGAGAGCTTCGCGCGATGGACGGTTTCTTTCTTTCTTTCTTTCTTTTTTTTTTCTCTCCGCGATTAACCCGCATGCACTTTACAGTCACACAGCTAAATGCAAGACTGCAAAAGCGAGGCCTCGGTACAGTCAATGAACATGTAGAGATCAGCTGTCATGGCGGCAAGGTATTCCGTATCGTATTTTACGATTGAGAACGAGACGAGATTGGCGACACAGACACGAGTCTGTCGCGACCTCTACACTGAGAGGTTAGAATCAACGGGTCCCGTTACAATGCATGAGTGCATCGCGACGCTCGTCGCAATCGGACGCTGATTTTTACAATTTTTTTGTAAAAATAAAGAACGCAATTTTATGTGTATTATAATTCTTCGAACGACGTTTCATCGACATCGCGTTGTGTTTTTTATTTTTCAACGCGTCGCGTGCATGAACTGCAGTTCGTACGACTATTTCAGACTTGCCTCAGGACTGTGACCTCGCAATTACAAAATTGACATAGTTCCGGCGATTGGAGGTAAATTTGAAAAATTGTATTAGAAGCTCGACAATGCAACAGTAGCTTGCAAGTTAATTTGAATTAATTCGAATGCTCTGAAATAATTGATTGTTTACAATGAATGTAAGAATAAGTTACTAAGACTATAATATATAGCGACAAAAGATGAATTTAATTTTTTAATACATATTTTCATGAGACATAAAGAATTTTATGACGAACAAAATATTTTTTGTAAACCACAAAGTGATTTCGATACAATTGTAAACCTCTGTTTATTCACTTGAAGAAAACTCTCATTTAATTTATCGATAAAACACCAATACAAACAATGATACAAATTAAAATTCAGGAGCAATTATAAAAAATGTTCAATTCAAAATCCATTTTTTATTTCCCTTTTACTTTCCATAATGAGACAAACATGAAAAACAAAATATTGTTTAACATTTACATGTGAGTTGATACTTAAGAGATCTTAATTTAATGTTAGTGTATTTAATTGTTCAGTTACTTCAACTCATTCAATAATCATCTTGCATTTAAAAGTCACAAGTTATCTAATACTGCACATTATCTAATAAATATACCTACAACTCATGTTTTCTGAATCAACCTTACGGAGTTGAACCCTTGATTACTAAAAGTATGCATAAAAAATTATGCAAATTATTTAAATTTGATACATCACTTGAGTAACAAAAAATACTCCACACTATCTTAACAAAATACACTTATTAAATTAAATTAACATATTTGGCAGTAGCAAAACTAAAAGTAAACTTTAAACTAAAATTAATCACAGAATTAGTTTTTTTGCTCACATGTATTATTATATGCAAACATTAAGCATTCAATGATGGATTGTTTATCAAAATTGAAGTTTTTCCATAATTTAGTGGTAAAATTGAATGCCGCTGATGAATCACTTGCAGTCTTTGCGTGACGTGCAACCCCATTCGATTTCTCTTGCATTGGTTGGTCAGTTTTATTTGTTAAATTATTCGCATTATTGTCTCTCTTATCTTTTTTCTTGGATCCATTTTTTCTATTGCCTGTATTATCGGAACCATTTGCAGTTTTATCGGTAAAATTTTTTGATAGTGAATTACTTTTTTGTCTAAAAGGGCTTTCTTTCAATTCTTTGGCAAGTAATTTATCTTTGCAATTTTTGCCAAATAAATTGCGTTTTGAACCATTTTTAGCTGAATTTTTGTTTTGGATTGGTTTCCAATTACTCATTAGTTGCCCTGTATTTCCATCAGCATTTTCATTTTTGTTTTGGATTGGTTTCCAATTACTCATTAGTTGCCCTGTATTTCCATCAGCATTTTCATTTTTGTTCCAACCAGTCGTATTAGGAGTAGAAAAAGCGTTTTCATCATCTGAATTGCACTGATAAAAATTTTAAATAGTTTTAACAATTTTCAAGTTTTTGCTTAATACGTATTTTTTTCTTTCATAATATAGCATGCAGCACAACTCTTTGACTAAAATTAGCTTTTTGTGCTATAACTGAGATACTTACTTTTTTCTCTCTATATTGATTGTGGGGATTAGCACTGTTAATATCTCCAACAGACTTGTGGCGATTTCTTTGACCTTTTTTGTGCCCAGTTTTAGTAAATTCTTCACTTGCCCATTCTTTTATTTTGCTTCAAGAATATAAAAAATATTTAGAATATAATTTTAAAAAATTGATTGAATAGCAAAAACACAAAAAACCTACTTAACAAAAGGAATTGCCATGAAAAATTGATTAGGTACTACTCCAAGTTTAGCTTTACATCTTGTATCCTTCCTGTGATTTGGTAGATCATTCAGATCAAACCATTGTATACTTTTTATCTCATTACGCGTTCTTGGTTCAAATTTAGTATCCTCCGGTACACCAGGAATAACGTACAACCTAATCACCTGTTCGTTTATAATTGATTCAATGAAGACATCCTTTTGAAGTATAGGAGAAATGTCAAAGCCAGTTTCTTCCAGTACTTCGCGAGCGGCGCAATCGGATGTCGTTTCGTCTTCGTTTATTTTTCCCTTTGGAAAACCCCAACTGGAGGCATATTGACTTTGAACGAGCAATACTTTTGTCAGACTTTTGTTCATTATAATGGCACCAAACGTAGGTACATTCTGTTTGTAAAATCTCCACTTCTGGTAGATAACGTCGATTTGCGAGGCGTGCGGCCTCAAAAAATCGATGTGCTTAAATATAATAGCCGCGAATTCCTTCATTCCAACTTTCGTTAATTTCGGATTCTCCTCTGTGCAATAAAAATCTAGGTAGAACCAGTGGGCCAGCTCGATCTGGAAGCACAATCTCACGTTATCTTTTCTCTCGTCCTCTGGAATGTTGATGATAAAACGACTGCAAGAGGGAAAGCAAAAAGTTCAAAATTAATAAAGCTCAACGAATTTCGAAAAGGCAACTTTAATTATTAACGTCACTGAGTTTTAACCTCGAAAGGTCATCGAGAATATCGCTCGGTATGCGTGTCTCGGACATTTTGTGCAGTGGATTATTATTTATACACGCAGACTTTACACAAACGAATGCACAGTTACGTTCTTTTTTCTTCTTTCTAATCAAAAAATTAGAAAACTAAAAATTCAAAACAAAGTCAAAAGCTAAAACGCCACGAAGTCTGCTGTCTACTGCGTATATTTAAGATTTACATTCCGTTGTGCTTTGTATATAGGCATGTATGTATATGTTTACAATACAAGCACAACTGACACACACAATGACAGAGCAAACACACGTGTGAGTGAGAGTCGGTGGGCAGCGGCCGAATCGATCGTCCCTAATAATAAAAACAACGCCTTTGCCATCGTTGGGCAAGGCAGTTGACTGTTTCGTGGGTTATGTTTATATATCCTGACACTTTTATATCAAAACAATCGTGTTATTGTCGGTATCGGTAGTGTGTGTAAAAGACAGTTGTAATCAAAACTTGTTTAATGACAATCGCGCGATTTCCTGTGTATATAGCGTAGGAAGACTTTAAAAAAATGACAACCAAACAAAAGTTCATCACTCTCGATCCCAAAGCTTTGAATCGTACAACAATTATCAGAATTGTTCCCGGCAGCAAAACAATTACGAGAGGCAACAGTATTATAAAACACGTCGTGGGAATAACAAAAAAGTATCAACAAGAGAGCAGGGAGCCTACCGAAGGTATTTAAATTTTCAAATCATCAATTAACTCAAACTCATAACAGAATAATTGATTCATTGTTTTTTTACGATTAGACATTCAAGAGAAAATTTCAGAGCATGCAGACGATAATGACATTTCGTGTAGAAGCAATGACTTTGAGCCGTACAAAGAATTCAACCCAGATGAGTCTGAAAGATTTGAAGAATCTCTGTCGTTGTCATTGTCATCGAAAAAACCAAAACTAACTATATTAAGAAGATGCGCTGGTATGGTTTTTAAAGATCTTTTCAATAAACTTATTGGAGAAAAATTCCTCTTATTAATTTGAGGTATTTTCAGTTGAGAATGAAAGTATAAAAATTAATCCTGCAGAGGTGGATCCTTTGGAGAATACAGTTCCAAGTCAAATTCATGGCGATGGTTGCTGCTGTAAGTTTTAAAAATTTTAAAAATCGTGATGTCAAAATTTGATACTAGATATCTGAAACTATTTTTTGTATAGGTGCATGTAGAGATAAACTAGACATTATTTTGAGACAGCAACAAGAAATACTGGACTTCTTGAAGGGTCGAGACAATGAACATCCATATGATCTTTTACCAGCTATGCCATTTAATGATATAAATGATTTCTTAGATTTCGATGAGTCGTTAAGCAGTAATGAAAAGGTTGAAAGTCAATTTGTAAGTGTTTCTTAATTTTTTATGGAACAAACACTTAATACTTGTTGCATAATGAATAATTGTAACTTACAGAAGCAAAAAATTAAAAAGTATTTAGTCAGTACAGATCAAAAATCAATGTCAAATATCATGTCAAGCATAATGACAAATGAACTGGCAAAAAAAATTTCTTGGATTGGAATTAAAAGTACAGTTGCGTTTGGTACTACTAGCATGGTTGGAATTATCATTGGTCAGTAATTATTTTCTTTAGCATTTAATTACTAACAATTATGTAAATATTAAATTGAATTGCTGTAATTTTATGTTATAGATGTCATTCAAAGTCACCATAAAATAGATATGGATACAATCAAATCAAGGCTTGCTGAGTGGCTTCGAAGATGCGGCGATCGCATCGGAAACGAAATGAGAAAGAACCTAAAAAGAGCGAGGATATCCAATTAGAATTAATGATTCATAATTAGTATTTAGTGTGAAAAGTTGTACATATTAATTTTGATAAAAATCTTTATACTTTAAATATTTCGCCAAAAATAATATAATTATTTTTAAAAAGTATTTCGAAGATAAATATGCTCTGCTCAATCTGTTGAAAATTCAGCAGCAGATTATTTAACGCGAGCAACTTTTATAAAAGTAATAAAAAATAATTTCCAACTTCAAGCTCAATCGTACCGTTTCGGAATTTCATGTGTGTGAATGCGTTCTAAATAAGTGAGCTCGGGCATCTGTCTCAATTAGTCGAAGTATGGGTTATTTTTCATCTTTAACTTTTTGAAAAAGTTTATATAGATTCACGTTACGAGATAAAGAGTGCAATCAATGATCATTTTTAATTATTTTCCCCCTTAATGGTCATTTCAATTCCAGAAAATTTTTCAAGCTCAGGCAGAATTTGAATTTCCCCGTTGAAAAATTAGATGCGACATTACATATGAAATATCTTGCGTCATCGGTCAAACCAACGCATTCCATAATTATCCAGTATCTGTAAACGACCACCTTTGGGTCAATGCAGCTTATATGTAAAAAATCGGAGCACACAAACTGCACTGCTCTAATATTGTACAAATTCGAGGGTTACATATTTTTATGTATGCAGCTCGTGCCATATTAGTCCAGTCAAATTAAAATTTTTCCGAACAAAATTAGTGCCAGCACCGGACTATATTCTATGTTCTTTACAAAGAGTAACACACAATAATAGTTTTATGATAAAAACCAGCACATTTCAATTTTTTCTATCCGAAACTAGCACGTTTCAATTATTCCTAACTAAAACTAGCACGTTTCAATTTTTCATAATTAAAACTAGCACGTTTAAACTACGGAGATACAAATTAGCACGTTTCAACGAATTCGAATGAAAACTAGCACGTTTCAGCAGTTACTAAAGAAAATAAGCACTTTCATTTAGTTCGCGTTTACCCTTTTTTACATAAATTTTTTGCGCGTATATAATATCTCTAATTAATATCTCTATATATCGTATACAGAGTAACTACTAGAAGTATCGCATGTCCATTTTTGTGACAAAAAAAACAAATACAATCTTTATTTGTTATTAACTGTGCATGTTGTGCGCGATTACACAAAACGATATTAGACATGTCAACTCCTGAAGACTTGAAAAAGTTAATAAAAATTTTAATTGGGAGGATGCCGATAAAAGGATCGTATACATGATGAATCATACATGAAACATGCTACTTTTTGTTGCAACATTTGAAACGTGCTACTTTTTGTTTAGTCTTTAATACGAATCATGAAATATGCTAGTTTTTGTTGGGCGTAATTAAAACGTGCTAGTTTTCGTTCTATTAGCTTTTTTTCGTTACAAATTTGAAATACGTTACTCTTCGTAAAGAACGTCGAGTATGGGTTTTGTTGGTCTCGATGAGTACAACAAGCACCCTTAGCTGCGTAACTTTTTGAGTGGCGGTTGGGGTAGTGGGATGTTTAGAAGGGTCGAAAAATCAAATTTTCGCCCTTGTAGCTTTTCCATGAACAGCAATCGAAAAAAGTTCAAATAAAAGTTGTAGCTATTAATTAGACCTTTAATTTGAGCCCGACCACGATCGATTACGTTAATTATTTACAGAGAAAAGTGCAAAAAACCCTTTAAAATGCCATTTTTTCAATCGCATTTATTATTAACAATTTCAGTTCAATCGGAACTTACATTACATCAAAATGTAGGTCTTTTCACGACAAAGAAAATGAACTTTTGAAAGTTAAGATCGGACTTATAGTTTTCGAGAAACAGTCATTTGTTTATAAAAACTCTCCCTTGGACCTAGGCGATATCTCGATTGTTAACAGCAATAGCAAATCCGTTCGACGCGCAAATGAAAGTTTAAGACTTGTACACTATATGTAAAACAATTCGTTTCCCAAAAAAAAAACGCAAATATAGCGTAATGAGATGAGATGAGATGATGAATGCGCGGTAACAAAAAACTAGTTAGATAGCGAGATCTGTCGGCAAGGAAGATTTATTTAGTGCGTAAATTTTTTTCAGGTTTGCTATATTTTAATCATTCAAAAAAATTTTAATTTTTATAGATGTGTAATTGAATGTTTACTTGTTTTAATAAAAATTGTTATTTAAAGATGATTTTGTGCGTGTAAGTAAAATTGTTGTTACCCTAAAGAATACCACAATTTCATAAAAAGTCAATTAAACACAAATTTGAACTGGTAAACAGTATTTGAACAGTAACATTAGCAAAATAAGTCTTTATTTTGTGCCCTTTTCAACTATTAAATCAAGATTAAAGTAACTTGATAAAAAATGATTTTCAATTGTATACTTAAATCCTGTCTCAAAATTTATACCACACTGCACCTTCGTTGTCTACGTTTTTGAAGTTCAGGCCGTAATACAGCATGAACAGCTTCATCGAACACTTGTTTTAATCCTCTTCGTGTAAGGGCAGAGCACTCCATATTTGACTGCTCGAATCTGTGAAAATATTGATAAAATTAACATCAAGTATTGTTCTATAATGTCATGGTCAAAACAAGACATAAACTTTGTACTTTCAAAACATTATCAGCCCTTTTAATTTACCTTGTTAGCTAATTTTCGGCCTTGCTCACGTTTGATGGCACTCAATCCTTGCTCAGCTAAAGCTGTAAGTGTTTCCCTATCATCTCGCAGATCAATTTTTGTTCCTACTAAAATAATAGGTGCATCTGGACAATGATGCTCAATTTCTGGATACCATTTACTAGTTACATTTTCAAATGAAGATGGACTGGTAACAGAAAAACAAATAAGAAAAACATCTGTTTGAGGGTAAGTAAGGGGTTGAAGTCTATCATAGTCTTCTAGACCAGCAGTACCCCATAGGCCTAAACTCACTGAATGTCAATTGAAAATAAAGAATTGTTACTTACAACCAAGAAGAGATTGGATCGACAACAGAATGGTACGGACGTCATGAAGAGCACTCCATTTGTCTTTTAAAATGTCCAGGCAAATGTTACCTGCGTTATCAACATTGGGATGAAAAGAAGGAGTGATGAACCGCACTACTGGTGCACTGTATACAGTATATTATAGTAAATTTGTTAAGGCATTCAAAATGGGAGTGAAAGATCTGTGGAATATACTATCACCTATAAGTGAAAGAAAACCACTTTTTGAACTTCAAGGCAAAGCTATTGCTATAGATTTAAGTTGCTGGGTTGTTGACAGCCAGACGGTTACCGACAACCATGCTCAACCAAAAATGTATCTCAGGTATATTAGAGTTCACCCCTTTATTATATAGAAAATTAAACTTTTATACACTGTTTATTTAGATTTATCACTTTTTTGCAGAAATTTATTTTTTCGTACATCTCACTTTCTTCTACATGATATATTTCCTGTTTTTGTTCTGGAAGGAACAGCACCTACTCTAAAACACAAAACCATTGCTAAAAGAAACGAAGAGCGAAATGGAGGCGAAGAAAAGAAAAAAGGTCAAAAAGGAGGAAGAACACGTTTCAATCATGTTTTAAAAGAATGTGAAGAAATGCTGAAGTACATGGGTTTGGTTTGTGTCAAGGGTTTTGGAGAAGCTGAAGCTATGTGTGCATACTTGAACGCTGATGGAGTAAGTTAATTTTAGTAACAAAAAAATAATTTATCATAAGTAATTTAAAAAAGATTTCACTTTTAGCTGGTTGATGCTTGTATCAGTCAAGATAGTGATTGCTTCCTTTATGGTGCAAAAGTTGTTTATAGAAATTTTTGTACAAGTACTCAAGGAAATCACACAACAAGTGGTGGCTCAATTGATGAATATTCTATGGAAAAAATCCAGTCTGTTTTCAATCTTGGAAGAAATAAAATGATAGCCTTAGCTCTTTTATTGGGTTGTGATTATGATGACGGTCTGCCTGGGGTTGGCAAAGAAGCTGCCCTCAAATTGTTTAAGATTGTTGATGACTGTAATATTTTACAAAGGTAATTAAATGCTTTATTCAGTTACTAATAGATGTTATGCCTGAGTTATTTAATTAATAAACTTGCTCTAGAATCAAAGAGTGGAAAACAAATTCTACCAAGTATCAAAAAATGGAAGCAGAATTATCAAATCCAGAAATTTGTACAAACTGTGGTCATAAAGGAAAAGTGAGATCTCATACAAAATTTGGCTGTGAAGATTGCGGAACAACAACAAAGTGCAATGACTCTTACAAGTATGTTGATGATGACTCTTCATTAACAATTCTTAAATTTATTAAATTTATATTTGAATTTGCATATTGACCATGGAACAAACTAAATTATTTCAGAGAAAAACGATTATTAATTTCAAATGAATAATCAATGAGAAAGAAAGCTTTATTAGTAGATAATTTTCCTAATCAAGAACTAATAGATGAATTTTTAATTCGTACTGGTTCTGTACCATCAAAGTTAGACTTCAAATGGAGTAAACCAATAATTGTCAAATTCATTGTGAGTTAATTTTGAATTTATTGAATGAAATTTAGATAATAAAATTTATTAAAATATATTTATAAATTGTACAGGATTTTATGGACCGAAAAGTTGCATGGGAACCCTCTTATGCATTTGCTAAAATATTTTCTCTTGCTACTCGATGGCAGCTTGTCAATCTTATAGAATACCCTATACAGCAACGATTAAATATATCAGGTGTATTTTTTCCCGAAAAAATAAAGAAAATTCGAAATATTCGTAGTGTTGCTAGTTATGAAATACTTTGGCTTGATAAAGATAAGCTTTTAGATGGATTATATTTAAATGCGCCCGACACTGATGACGATCTTTCTGAAGAAGAGAATTCAGATAACGAATTCAGACATTCATTCAGAATTCAGACATCGATTCAGACATCGATTCAGAATTCAGACTGTATACAGTGCACCAATAGTAAGCTATGCTTTTTACAGAATTGTTACACGATAACAATGAATTATTTAAGGTACTACCAAAGATATGGAATTGACCGTTAACGAGTCTTTCTAAATTTTGTTCGAGCAAAGCATCAATTGCACGATCAGCGGTCTCCTCTGGAGTTTCATTAGTGTTAACAATATTCAGGCGGGTTTATCACGATTTCAACTCGTTTCTTGTTAAATATTGGTTGAAATGATGTGTGCGTGTAATCGCGTTACGCTTAGCTACTGACATGTGCATTGCCATCAGAGCATAGCAACGCCTATGTTTATAGTGCAAAAAAAATGTCCAGTATTATAAGCCTCTTTGGCTCCAGGACTAGCAATATTTTTCCAGACCCACATGCACCGGACACGAGTAAAAAATTAAAATATAAGTAAAAGCGAAAGAAAGAGTAAAAGTGAAAGAAAGAGTAAAAGCGAAAGATAGTGTAAATGTGAAAGAAAGAGTAAACGCGAAAGATAGAGTAAACGTGAAAGAAGGAGCAAACGTGAAATTTGTTGTCATATTTTTTATATGTGTATAGATATACACGCTATAGTAGGATGGTGACAAAAACGTGCAGCGAATGAATGCGTAAACAGGCTAAAGTTTAGTTGGCGCCGTTCGCAGGATTCGAGGTACGAAACGAACCAAGAAGTGGGATATAGCATAAAGAGAGAGAGAGAGAGAGAGAGAGAGAGAGAGAGAGAGAGAGAGAGAAAAGGAGCGCAGGAAAACCTTAGCTATCGAGACGCGGTATTACATAAAAAATGAGCAAACGAAACATTCCATACTTTAGGTCGACATAGTTATTTTCACAGGGGCAGAGCCAATTCATGATTTTCATATTTTTTGCAGAGCGATACGTATAATGTTAATTCGCCGCGCGAGCCTTCCGTCCGCTCCGAATCTTGTTCGCGCGAGCCTTCCGTCCGCTCCGAATCTTGTTCGCGCGAGGTAGCTCGACTCGAATTTCGACGTGTGACATGCTAGTCCAGTGAAAACTTACATGAAATTGCATTTTGTTGGGGAGAGATGAAACCTTGTCTACTAAGAGTAAATCGATATTGGGTAAAGTGTCTAGTTATATTCAATCGCAGAGAAATTTTCACTTTGTTTACCTACGGAAATTGCGCATAACACCAAATAATTTTCCTAAAAATACTTTTTAAGTAAAAATACTTGGACATGATAATATTTGTCAAGAACTGATCGAATCGACTAGCGAGCCATCAATAACTCTGACCTTTTTATGTTCTCTAAATTTTAATTACATTTTTAATAATGACACAAGGTTCTTCGTACATCTCAACCGAAAAAGCAAATTAAAATATAATCGAGTTCCATCGTTCTGAAAAATTTAATTGATTCGTTTGAATAAATTTTATCAAAGATTATTACAGGTGGAACATAACTGGGTGAGCAATTTTATTGGATAGCTGCCTAATTATGGCCCAGGAGAGAGTTATGAACCGTGGAAAAAAAAAACGACGACAAATTGACGAAAAGTCGACAAATTGAATCAAAACTAAACACCAATAAATTGCTCAATTGCTCCGAAATGAATCAATTCAAAATGAAAAATTAGACTTTGATATTGTTACATTACGGATCTCAATGATCAAATGCCATAATAAGAATCATTCAAATATTATTTGTATAAGCGGCGGCAGAATAAAATCGAGCGTCAATCAGACAGCTGCGCCAGCGCGACATGTTTACGTTTTGTATCTGCTTCGAAAAGTATATAAACGCAGGAGCCGTTGCGGCATAAGTAGGGGGGTAAAGATGGCCGTTCCAACTGTGCCACCTACTATATACAGAAGTGTAGAACGCCTATGTCGATCCTCCCCTCCTGCATTACGTCGCTCGCTTTCAAAGTGTCGTGCGCTCGACCGCTCGAGCCATTGCTACGGCTCGACGACTTGATGATAACTATATAGTATTAAGTTTACCTTAGATAATTATGTTAAAAACTTAACGATTCTGCAAGAAATTTCTCTGAAGATAATTTCTTGACAGAAAAAATTATAAACTGGCCGAGGTGTACTGCCAAAAACTGCACTATGAATAAACTGTGAGCAGCGTTGTGTAAACTTGAGTGTGTGAAATGGTGACCGGCCGAGATTTTGTTGATGAACAGACAAGGCAAAAAATTCTTGACCGATTACCTTTCAAGACAGCTTAAAATTTTCGTTTTTCATGTACTTTCATTTGAACTGAGTTGACACGTTGTTTTAATAATTTATCTCAGCGAAAAAGGCGTATAAACAAATGGAAAGTACGTCAGATCCATAAAATTACGTTTATAAACGTCTACAAAATGCTTTATAAACAATTTTATTAACATGAAAATTATACTACATCATTGTGTAGGTTATTACCTTCAAAATAATATGTCGATGAGCTCGATTGCACTAATACGAGCCAAGTTACAGAGGTTGAAAGATAAAAAAAGGACGTATTTTTAGGAATTTTGCACTGATTATTGCATAACTTTTTTTCTAGTGGACAGTTTTTCAATTAATTTAATGGAATTTCTTTGGTTTTTAAAGACGAATAAAATAAGAACAAATTGTATTAATCTATCTTCAATATTTTACAAGATATGGCCGATTAAACAATTAATTTGTTTATAACAAAAAATTGACCAGGAATTCGGCCTGGCGACATTCAAATTCGGTTTCAGCGACCCACAAAATCCGTCAACTCGCCGAGGGGATCTCGCAAGTTCACTCAAATGTCACCAGCGCCCGGACTATAAATTATTCAGCCAGAAGGATACACTCAAAACTCATATAAATACACTACATGATCGTAACAAATCCTTTGAGTGCGATACTTGTCACAATTTATTTAGCCGTAAGCATCACCTCATATCTCACATAAGAATAGTGCATAATAAGAGCAAACCATTCGAATGTAAAATTTGTCATAAATCATTTGCCTACCAAAGCTACTTTAAACTTCACGTCAACGCAGTTCATAATCGGAGTAAACCCTTTGGATGTGATATATGTCACAAATCATTTGGACAAAAGGGTACCCTCAAAAATCACATCAGTTCGGTTCATAATCGCAGCAAATCCTTCAAATGCGATATTTGTCGTAAATCATATAGAAGCCAGCAAAACTTAACTCATCACGTTATGGCAGTGCAATAATCGGAGTAAACCCTTTGAATGTGAGATTTGTCATGATTCATTTGCCCGTAAGACTTCCTTCAAAACTCACATTATTACAGTACATGATCGGAGTAAACCCTTAGAGTGCGATGCTTGTCACAATTTATTTAGCCGTAAAGATCATCTTATATCTCACATAAGGATAGTGCATAATAAGAGCAAATTTTTTGAATGTGAGATTTGCCACAAATCATTTGGATACAAAACTGTCCTACAATTTCACATTAATGCTGTACATAATCGTAGCAAACCCTTCGAGTGTGAAATTTGTCACAAATTTTTTGGAGAAAAAAGAAGGCGTGATGTTCACATAAATACTGTACATAATGGTGTCCAACCCTTTAAATGCCACATTTGCCACAGATCATTCGGACAAAAACCACAAGTCACAAGACACATTAATTCAGTACATGATCGTAACAAACTCTTCAAATGTAATATTTGTCACAAGTCGTTTAGCCGCAAAGATTCCCTCAAATCTCACATAAGCACAGTACATAATCGTAGAAAACTCTTTGAATGAGAGATGTCAAGATGTGTTGTGAATAATTTTGGATACCAGAATGTACAAAATAGATACAATCACAGTACATGATAGCTGAAAAGCTCATACTAAACAATTATTTTATAATAAAGGCATACTTTAAAAAATGAATATTCAAATCCTTAATTTATTTCAAACATGAATACACCTGGAAATTTACTGATACATCGGATCACGCTCCAATTATGATTTTAATATTTTGTTTAACAATACTTCAAGAGGCATGGGTAAAGAATTGTTATATCAATTTGCCATTTGTGCCATTTGTGCTTTAAGACTTCGTGCAAGCGCTGCTCGGTCAATGACAAATCCATTCTCATAAAATACGACTCGGGCTATAGCTTCGCACACGCGTCTTTACTCATCAATCGTAGTGTATATGATACGTATTTGTTTATTTACATTCATTTTTTTTTTATTTAATTTGACTTTCATTGTCAATGGAGACAATGAAAGTTGCGACCGCGTCAGCGATCTCGGCCACTGGCTACCAAAACTTACAATTAGGCCCAAATTTATCGATGAAAAATTAAAGAAAAAAATTCATTCGAATTAACCTTTATTTGACACACTTTCCTGGTGTAACGTACTTGACACACTGGGGTTTTTCTGTACCCTATCAAATGCATTGTTAATGAATAAATCAACTCTTAAATATTTCTGTTTGAAACTTTTTTACGAACTTTTGAAAAGTTTATTTTGAAGACTGTATAAGTTTGATATTGAAATATTGAAAGTAAATATGTTAACAATAGATTTAATTTTGATCGATTTGGATACTTTAAAACAACGTAGAAAAAGCGTGGGGTTGATTCTGCCCCAGTGTATCAAGTAAAGGTTAAAACTCAAGTATACGAACGAATTTAGTTCTGTTCAAGAATTGCAGTTAGAAGCGAAAATTCGATATAATACCTCGAAATAAATTAAAATTCAAGCAAATAACATAGTTCAATTAAAAATATACACAATAAAACACCGCTGCTAATTCATTGGCAAAGAACTAACTCCTTAAAGTTTACTTGTTCTTTTTTTAAGTATCAAATTTAAAATATAGGGCTTTTTCACAGTCGTCAATGACAGTCAAAAATCGACCAGCTGATTTGACTGGAGGCAAAGCGACCGCCCATATACTTTACATGTTAAAGTTGGTTGGTAAAAGTACTTGTAATTAGTTTACCGTGCACTCAAAAAATAAACAAAAAGTATCTGGAGAAAGCGAAAATATTTGTGTATCAAAATATCGAAGCGGTTTTTAGTTAAAGTCTTCAGTTTATAGATAAAAAAATATTGAAATTTCTGCTTTTTTTTCTGTGATATTGTCAATAAATATTGTCAATAAAATATTTATTAAAAGTGGTTTTTAAGTTGCAATACAAACTCTCAAGCAGGGAAATTTTATTCTTTGAAGTTACCGACGAAAAATTAAGAAACAATCGTAATTAAGAATATTATCTTTACACCAATAGCAGACTTGGTTGGGTTATATAAGACAATTGCGAGATCATTTTCATAATTTTTCGAAATTACGATTGTTTCATAGTTTTTCGTTGGTAATTTGAAAGAATAAAAATTTCCCTGCTTGAGAGTTTATATTGCGACCCAAAAAACCAATTTTAATAACTATTTTATTAGTGTTTATTGGCAATATCACAGACAAAAAAAGCGAAATTTCAATATTTTTTTATTCACAAACTAAATACTTTAACTAAATACCGCTTCGATTATTTTGATACACAAGGATTTCCGCTTTCTCCAGATATTTTTTGTTTCTTTTTTTACTGCTCGGTAAACTAATTACAAGTACTTTTACCATCCAACTTTAAAATGTAAAGTATATGGGCGGTCGCTTTGTTTTGCCTCCAGGCAAATCAGCTGGTCGATTTTTGACTGTCACTGATGACTGTGAAAAAGCCCTATTATAACATATTAAGTTTATAAGGTATTGAGTCTTAAATAGTAATCTAATTCAGAGAAAATGTGTTACACATTTGAGATTATGAACTTCAAACATATACACCACAAAAATGAAACTGATCTGGTCAAAATGAAAGTACTTTTACGACAGAATAGGTTTATTAAAAAAATTAATTTTCAACGCCTCTTGCGTCAAATATTACCTAATAAAATAACTTGACCCAATCTAGATTATTTCCTCTATTCAAAAGTTATGCTAGCTCCATATCAATTCTAGGAATGGAAAAGACTTCAAACGAATGTATTATATCGTATTATAACGAATGTATCATATTAATTAAATGATTATTAAATAAAAATTACAACAATTCAATTAAGAAATTTGAGAATTTGAAATAATAAATGAATTTGTAAATATTTAAATTTTTAAACTAACGCTGCATTTAATTTTCGCACCAAAAATGATGGGAAAGTTTGACCAAAAATGTCGACGAATCATGAAACGAAGAGATGTTACTCTACTCGTCTACCAATGAGCTGAAAAACAAAACGACTTCATACGATATTTTTCGAAAGTAAAAGTAATAATCTTAATATCTTGCTCTTTTTTTTTATTTTATTCATTTTTATCTTTTTTTTATTACTTATTTTATTTTTTATTATTATTATTTTTTTTTTTAATAACTTATAATAATTAATAATAACTTATAAAAAAGAGAACGACCGAAAAGTGGAGACGTGTAAAATGACCTCTGATCGGCTGACACTGATGACGATGCCTGACGCGAGCCGACTCTATACGAGCGCCTGCGCTGTTAATTGTCAGCATATAGTCAAAATTATTCGATAATCTCACGAGCACGTGGTCGTCAGTGAGAATTTGAATTTACCAGTGTGAAGTGTTGGTTACTCGTGGGCTCAACCTCGTGTATTTTCTAAAAGAATATCGTCGTGAATATTTAACAGTTAAATTACAAACAATCGAGCGAGTGATTGCAAGCGGAAGGGACCCAATCAGGTATTACTTTCTTTTGTTTTGTGATGTGATGTGAAGTAAATGATGGTCCTAATGGTCGTGATCTACTGGTACTTAGGACACTAGACAGTGAATCAAAATTTAAAAACACGAATTTTCACGTTAATAACCGATGCCTTTTGTTAATATTAATTTTTATGAGGAGGCTTTGCCAATAAATTAGCAGCGGCTTTTGGTTAAAATCTGTCGTCGAATAAAAAAGTTATGGCGTAAAATGTATGAAATTATGGCGGACTCCCATAATAGCCCATGTTAAGTTTGCTATTATCAGCGGCTTCGTTCTGAAAAGTTAGTTCGATAACCCAGGCTGCAATTTCTACAGCATATCACATTTCTGCAAAGTTCCATAAACATCTGTTGTCGATCCATTTTACTGACTAGCCACCTCAAGTGGGTTCAGACGAATTTTTCAATGTTTTTCTTTGAAAAAAATCAAAAAAATCAATGAGTTTAGAAACGAGCGAGCGCTTAGGGCGCGCACGCGGAGGCAACATGAACTCATGAACCAAGCTCAGAAGGCTGTAACTTGACGCCTACTTGACCGATTACCTTTCAAGACATGTTAACATTTTCGTTTTTGATGTACTTTCATTTGAACTGAGTTGACACGTTGTTTTAATAATTTATCTCAGCGAAATTATGAAATAAATTTTTTCATAGTCCTTTCATCATTTATGATATTTGTACGAAAAAAAACTTTTTCAAAATCCATTTTTTTTAACAAAAAAAAAATTGTTGAAAATTTTTGACTAAAAAATCCAATATAACCAATATTTCAACTGAGTAGCAAAACGATCAAAAACATTTTTTTGCTTTTGAAATTTATATCACTAGAAAGCTAGAAGCTTGAACTTTAATTTCCTTTTTTTTTTAATTCTTCTACTATTTATGTTAAAAAAGTTATTAACAAAATAAAGAAGATACTCAAATCGGGCGCGAAGGTCACCTTCCGTCGGGCACTAGTGTCACATGACGACCTATCAATAACCCATTCACGTCCAGAATAATAAAATTTTTTGTTCGTGATCGACGCGATTTTTTTTTATATTTTGAAACGCAAAAAGATTTTGCGCATACATAATTTCATGTAAAATTTAATGCCCTTTCAGAATCTTGGCTCAAATTTAAGATTTGATGCTTCGTCAAAAAGTTATGGTTGTTTAAACAAAAATAAACGTAAAAATTTGCGCGAAAAATCAACTTAAAGAAATTTTTTCCAAATGTTGCCGTATAAAACTCGAGGTATAAATATGATGAGAGGTAATTATGGATGTAGAAGTACCGTAAGGAATTTTCCTAAATTTTTTTAGCTACTTTTTCTAACAAAATGGCGTCCCTCAAGTGAAATGTTTATAAAAAACCAAACTTGATTTTTATCTTGAAAACCATTGGGTTTAGAGAAAAAGTTTCCGTCTCCTATGGCACAATTCCCGGCCATTGAAAAAAGACGGGCAATTGTGACAAATTTTTTGAAATTCAATATGTTAAGATAGATAAATTGAATGTGGAGGTAAACTCGAGTAAAAGGCTGTTGAATATTTGAACGATAGATTTATTGATCTAGAGTATGGTGAGCTGCTCTCGCTCAGCCAGCTCGATGACAACTGGCCGCGATGAGTACAAGAGGTAACAGTAACAGCTAATTTTAATGTTTACATTCGGCCGCTACGGCTTTAACATTACTACAATAAACCCGAACATTCCGCCCGCCTTCGCCAATCTTGCGCGAATAATTTTCTTCGAGAGGCAAAACGCTAATCTTGGCCACCGGACGCATGAGCACAGAATTAGCCGTCTTCAGCTTGACGACACGGATCAATCCATCTTTTGCCGGAAACACCTCGATAATGCGGGCCAGAAGCCACTTGCAAGGAGGCATTAGTTCGGAGCGAATAACGCACAGCCTGCCCACCTCGATCTGTACATCCTTCCTTTGCCATTTTGGGCGAAGTTGCAGGCTATGCAAATACTCCGTTGACCATCGAGACCAAAATTGCTCGTAGATGTTTCTGAGCAGCTGCATACGAGACAGACGTGAAATTGGTACGTCCAATGTCGAGGGCTCCGGAAGAGTGCTCAATGAAGTTCCGAGGAAGAAATGCGCCGGCGTCAATGGCGTCAAGTCCGAGGGATCGTCCGTGAGTGGTTGAAGAGGCCGAGAGTTCAGGCAAGCCTCTATCTGGGCCAACAGCGTCGAAAATTCCTCGAAAGTGAGAACAGCTTCACCTATCACTCGCTTCAGGTGATGCTTCGTACTCTTCACCGCGGCCTCCCATATACCTCCAAAATGTGGCGCACCTGGTGGATTGAATTTCCATTCAGTACCCTCGTTAGCCAAAAGGTGGGCGATATTGCGTTGGCGAGGCTGAGCCTGATTGAAAAGCCTTTTGAGTTCCCTGCTTGCACCCACGAAATTGGTGCCGGAGTCACTGTAAAGAGTTGCACAAATTCCTCTTCGGGAGACAAAACGCCGATATACGAGCAAGAAGTCCGCCGCGGAGTAACCAGATGCCATGTCCAGACACACCGCCCGGGTAGGCAAGCAAACGAAGATAGCAATGTATCCCTTGAACGTCTTTAAGCCACGTCCCCTGGAACACTTAAGATGAATAGGCCCAGCATAGTCAAGCCCGGTGTGCATGGACGGCCGACACTGCTGGACTCGAACCACTGGTAGATCGCCCATCAATTGCGTCGCCGGTGTAGACTGAAAGCGCCAGCAACGCAAGCATCGGTGGATAACGCTCTTAACCAGCTGACGCCCTCGCAATATCCAAAAACGCCTCCGCAGCCGACTGAGAGTCATCTGCGTCCCACCGTGTAGTGATCTCGAATGTACATCTCGAGCTAAAAGTAAAGAAAGAAAAGAATTGTGCGGCAGCACATACGGGCTCCTCTCATCCAGTGACAAATTCGAATTTGGCAATCTGCCTCCAATTCGAAGCAAGTTCTCACGATCGATGTAAGGGTTGAATCGAAGCAGCAAGCTGTTCCTCGGCAGATCCGCCTTCCGCCGTAATGCCCCGATGTCCCGCGCGAAATGCAACCCCTGCACATACGAGATCCATCGCTTCAGCGCCGAGTCAATCTGAATAGGTGTCAACTCCGTGATTTCCTGCCTCGATGGCCTCGGACGAGTGATTCGTTTTCTCTTGATGCGCATGCGATCGACAAATTCCAAGCAGCGAGCCGTGACGGTGCGCACAAAGCTCCTACCGGAGCTCCTCGAGAGGCCAGATCTGCAGGATTCTGCGTTCCCGCGATGTGATGCCATGAAGCGCCCGGAAGTGTAGTCTGGATTTCAGACACCCTGTTGGCCACGTAAGTCTTCCACTGAGCAGGGTGGCCCCGAATCCATGATAATGTGACCGTAGAGTCCGACCACAGATGTATTGGTAGGTCCTCGAGCGACATAGAGCTTACAATACGTTTAACTAAGCACACAAGCATGTGCGCTGCGCAAAGCTCTAGACGCGGTAATGACACTTGCTTGAGAGGTGCCACTCTGGTTTTAGATGCAAGAAGAGTGCATCTGAAGTCGATAAGGTTTGAAATGACTATATCGACACGCTTTTTTTTTTAATTTCTTGGAAATTTTGTCCTCTTTAAATCTATATAAATTAAGATAAGATTTGAGTTAATGTTGAGTTACCAGTAGTATTTGAGCGAGACCCTAAAAATTACTGAAAAAAAATGACTGTTTGAACGTGTACCAGTACCACAGTGATTTTTTTATCGAAATTTAACATACACCATCGCAAAGTGCTCTTTTTAACGAGTAATTAAAAAAAAAAAGACCTCTCTACGATTTTTTTAACGCCCTGTAGGTCGATTTGAAGGTACGGTTTATGTACGCAAAATGCCCAGAAAATCGTCTTGATTTCAGCTAAACGGGGGATTTTACGTACTTTAAATGGTATCTTCAAAACGACCCACAGAGCGTTCAAAAAATCGTAGAGAGGTCTTTTTTTTTAAATTACTCTTTAAAAAGAGCACTTTGCGATGGTGTATGTTAAATTTCGATAAAAAAATCACTGTGGTACTGGTACACGTTCAAACAGTCATTTTTTTTCAGTAATTTTTAGGGTCTCGCTCAAATACTACTGGTAACTCAACATTAACTCAAATCTTATCTTAATTTATATGGATTTAAAGAGGACAAAATTTCCAAGAAATTAAAAAAAAAGCGTGTCGATACGATAAATCTAGCCCAAGATAGAAGCATTTGAAAATCGACAAAATTTCGATGAATTTTTTTGTTGCGATAATTTTGTTGCCGAGTGTACCTTGTATTTACAAGGTATGTGCATTGTACAAGGTATATACATTCTATATACCTGGCATATGTCTTGTGGAAACCTATTTTATATTTCTTGCTTTCTCAAAAAATTTTTACAAAACCCTGACTATACCGAGCGAGCGTGAGCGAGCGAGGTAATTCGCTAGTATGGATTAAAGTTCGTATCTATGGAATCACGTGTATAATATATAGATTAGGTTATAGATAAAAAAATAGTAAGATAAGATAATAGATAAAACAATAGATAAGATAATAGATGAAGTAATAGATAAGATAATAGATATAGCAATAGATGAGAATACATGAGATACGACTAGATAAGATAAGGAATCACTTTTCTGTACAATTTCTTTCTTTTTTTTTTCAAAAAAAATTAAAAACAATTTAATGACATTTCAAATTAATATCTCACATCAGTCACATATTATGAGTGTTGTCTCAAAATTTCATCCAAAAACATTGATTACTCTTGTATTGGAGATATTGGGAGTTAAAGTTGAAATTCGGTAACACTCGTTTTCTGAAAAAACAACTGTTTTTTTACAATTATTTTTATGATCCACCCATCTAATCTTGTCTGACTTTTTACAGTAAGTGTTCCTAGGTGTAAGCTTTCAGAAAAATCAAAAAAATTTTTAAAAAATTCAGAAGCCTCTTTTAGAATCATAGACTCATAGCTAGTGCGTGCGGTCTAGTCAGTATAGGCTTCGGCACCGAGTCGTTAACTTTAGAAAAAGGCCGCTCTGAACGAAGCAGTTTATTCGGGAAATTTCAAAATTTTTAAATTTTTTAAAAAACAGAGTGTGTGATGGAGTGACGATACCTATGCGTTGAAGTCCAATTATGATAATAAGAATAATCTGTATTTCATTTATGTATTATTAATAGCTACTTTTTTTTACAGATTAGCGATGCAGAACAACGAATCCCTCGTCAATTTCCAGGACGAAATGGAAGTGGACTGCACCTCGTATGACACATCCTTAGGCAATGAAACAGTCGACGAAAGTGAGACCGAAGCATTGGTCGAAAGCATAAGAAGTTTGCGACAATTTGTAGATTGGGAACTAGAAGAAAATCGAGCTGATTTCCTCGAGCACATTTGTGAGCCAATCAGCGTCTGGGATAGTGGCTATGTAGATCTGCTTGAAATTTTTTTGCAAGAAGAAATAGAAATTTTACTTGTGGACTCCTTAAGTTTTTTAAGTTATGATGAAGGCAGCTGCGGTCCCGGGAAGAAATTCATTGAATTTGTGGTGAAGGCCGGCTACAAAGACGTGCCATACGTCGACGAAAACGGCGAGATATCATGTGATCGCACAACAGCCATACATCGCGCGGCAAAAAGTAGCTCTGTAGACACCTTTAGGCTACTTTTTACGATTTACGACAGGTTCGACGTGAATTTCACCGACGAATCTGGATTGTCGCATTTCCATGTGGCCTGCAAAAAAGGTTATGAAGACGTCGTGTACGAATTTCTCGAACATGGACAAAACCCAAATTGTGTCTGGACGGAGACAAACGACTCAGCCCTGCACTTGGCTCTGAGTCCGCAAAATTTGCAATACGATAAAATAGCACAAATGCTGCTGGACCGAGGTGCCGAATCGTCTCTTGTCAACAAGGAGGGAGTGACTTTGCTCCATTTACTGTGTAAGCGAGAAATGAACGAGGTTTCGTTCAAATTATTTTGCCGAATCTACAGCTCGATGAATATCAATGCCCAGGACAGTAATGGTAATACACCTCTGCACGAGGCATTGAGACATGGTCAGAGGAAATGGGCTTGTTATCTGCTAGAAACCGGGGCTGATCCGAATTTAGCCAATACGATGGGATTGACGCCTCTGCAAGTCATTTGCCAGAGAACCGAAGACGACGAAATGATTAAGTTCTTTTTCAAAACAGTCGATGGCATCCGAAAAACTGTGGTGGTCAACCATGTAGATAAACTTGGTCGAACAGCGCTCGAGTATGCTGTAGCGAGTCTTTTGCCACGAGCGATCGACGAACTCTTAAGGCATGGGGCTAACCTACGAGGCTTCCATTTTCCCACTGAAGATTACTTTGACAAGGTGTTAAATCAGCGCAATTTGTACAGTCATCATTTCAAATTGAGAATTGCTCTTGGCGCGCTGAGCGTCGTCGAGAAGCTCGAGAAAGGAGGCTACGACTTGGACCGCAGCGACGCAATAACGATTATGAATATTTTCGTCAAGTGCAAATTGTTCGAAAAGACGACGAATTTTGACGCACGTTGGTTCGACGACGAAAAGTTCACGAGTAAAGCTAAAGAGATAATGATACGTCCACACCTGTCCCTTTACGAGTTGACTCGGTTGCGAGCTAAAGACGCGACTACTAAACTCACGCCTACGGATTATTATGAAGAGTTTGTGTTTTCAAGAAAATTAAATAATATCTTTAGAATACATAAAGAGCCATGTGCCATTCACTTGTGCGTGAATCTATCGAGGAAATTCTTTCACGAATGGGCACAGGATCCATTATGGGAGCTGATACATGGCAGACTGCCATTAGAGTGCCTTGACAAGATAATTGAGAATCTAGCCAACGAAGATTTACATCGTATTTCGTTTGCATCTACACTATAAAGTTCGAAATAGAGATGAGCATATTTGCACTATTTTTATATACAGTGATATTCAATGCATAATAGTTTTTGTACTGAAATGAATAAATAAAAAAAACTGAAAATTAATTTTGAATTTGTTGAATAAATTTTGTATCCCAGTCCTTTTCCATACCATTGCTCCGATTCTACGTCTTTGAATTCATTGTAAAATATGTATGAATTTTTCAGATTTGTGGAAACGATTTTAAAAGAATTTAATATTTTATTAACACTTTTGTTTATGATGAGAGCGTTAAAAACCGAATGCCACAAGATGGAATTTGTTGTTTGATGCTCTTATAATTGTTTAAAAAACTTTTTGTTTATAAAAAATATATGGCGTAATAATTTCACGAGACGTAAAGTAGTATAATTATACCCAAGTTCACAAAGGCATTATCTATTATACAATTTTACAATGATAAAATATTAAGCAATCTAATGAATCGAACACAATTTAAGAATGAAGAAAATCAAAGCACCCATTGATTTTGCATCGAACAGTTTGAAAAATGAAGATATGTCTAAGAACTGAATTTTAATCCCAAAAATCATGTTATTAATATTTTTTTACCTCTTCTCAGTAATTACAACCTTTAATTATTCTTTTTCAAATCCATTTTCAAGATACTTCTGTTGCTTTAATGATGTACGCTTAAGTGTATGATTGATTCCAAAAATTTTATTTTCAAATAAATTCTTGATTTAATACATGATTGAAAGTTTTCTCGCTCCGATAAGATGATTTAATTGCCGACTACTGTTACAGCCTGTGATGAAACCTTTTACTATAAAAAAAAAACAAGTAAAAAAAATCAAATTGAAAATTGAAAAAAATCAGCTGTTTATGAACAGCTGCAAGATGTGAAACATCTTACTATTAATTTAAGAAAATTAAGGAATTCAAAAGTAATCGAACAAGTAAAAGTCGAAACAAAAAAAGAAGTAAAAAACAAGTAAAAAAAATCAAATTGAAAATTGAAAAAAATCAGCTGTTTATGAACAGCTGCAAGATGTGAAACATCTTACTATTAATTTAAGAAAATTAAGGAATTCAAAAGTAATCGAACAAGTAAAAGTCGAAACAAAAAAAGAAGTAAAAAACAAGTAAAAAAAATCAAATTGAAAATTGAAAAAAATCAGCTGTTTATGAACAGCTGCAAGATGTGAAACATCTTACTATTAATTTAAGAAAATTAAAGAATTCAAAAGTAATCGAACAAGTAAAAGTCGAAACAAAAAAAGAAGTAAAAAATTAAAAACAAATTAAAACTCGAAAAATCAAGAAAAAATCAATTTAATACAAAAATCTAAAATCAAACAAGTAAAAAGTAAGAAAACAAAAAAACAAAAAACATGAATCAAAAAAACGAGAAAATCAAGAAAAAGAAAAGTCAGAAAATCCCAACACAAGCATCGATGTTTCACATCTGGTGCGCTAAAGCTCGAGAAACTACTCTGATTACTTAACTCAATGAGAGGGAACGATTTGAAGAGTAAGCACGCATTGATAATGCACCAGATGTGAAACATCGATGCTTGTGTTGGGATTTTCTGACTTTTCTTTTTCTTGATTTTCTCGTTTTTTTGATTCATGTTTTTTGTTTTTTTGTTTTCTTACTTTTTACTTGTTTGATTTTAGATTTTTGTATTAAATTGATTTTTTCTTGATTTTTCGAGTTTTAATTTGTTTTTAATTTTTTACTTCTTTTTTTGTTTCGACTTTTACTTGTTCGATTACTTTTGAATTCTTTAATTTTCTTAAATTAATAGTAAGATGTTTCACATCTTGCAGCTGTTCATAAACAGCTGATTTTTTTCAATTTTCAATTTGATTTTTTTTACTTGTTTTTTACTTATTTTTTTGTTTCGACTCTTACTTGTTCGATTACTTTTAAATTCTTCAATTTTTTTTAATTAATTGATAAAGATGTTTCACATCTTGCAGCTGTTCATAAACAGCTGATTTCTTTTAATTTTTTCAATTTTCAATTTGTTTAATTAATCAAATTAGTGCATTGAGCTATTATCGTTCGTTGTATCTTAATATAACATGATAAAAATTTCGACTTCCCTTAAGAAGACACAAACTCATAGACACGTATATATACATGCAGTAATAAGTATCAGATTTGACAACGTGCATGATAGTGCATAGTCTCGCGACGTACATGCATAGACAACACATACGTATTATATGAATTAGCGATACGCATAAGCAAGAGAGAGAAAGATATCTCAACGCAGTCAATCCCATGAGCTGAGCCGACTGCTGTTGCTTATGCTGTTACGTTGCCTCGTGCGTATACGTAAACACAGGCATACGCGCGTCGAGTCTCGACAGTGGGCAGCAGCAGAAAGCAGTTCTGTAGCTGGCGCGGCAGCCAATCACAGCGCGTAGCGCAAACCGACGCTGTATAGGCAGTTCTACTACCAAAGTTGCGCTCGCTCGGACGGACGGACGCTCGGTTTTTACGGGTTTACCCCTGACACCAAACGCGAATATAGATGTTTCACATCAATAAATGTTCTTGCGGTATCGTGTAAAAATATACATTTTCCCAGGTCGGCGGGCGACCATTATCCCAAAAAAGATACGAAATTCGCTGTGTGCACCCGAATGGTATAAGAAATCGAAATATTTTTATTCATGAGCGATTTGGAGACTCGTGTTAAAAAAATATAAAAGTTCTCGCCGTATCGCGTAAAAATATACATTTTTCCAGGTCGGCGAGCGACGATGATCCCCAAAAGTCACGAAATTCGCTGTGTGTACCCGAGTGGTGTCACACATCGAATAATTTTAATCCATGACCGATCTGGAGACTCGCGTCAAAAAAATATAAATGTTCTTACGGTAGCGCGTGAAAATATACATTTTCCCAGGTCAGTGAGCGACCATGATCCGTCAAAGTCATGAAATTCGCTGTGTGTACACGAGTGGTGTAACAAATCGAATAATTTTTATCCATGAACATCTAATCTTTCCTGATAAAAATATATAAAAGTTCTCACTGCGCCGTGTAAAAATATACATTTCTCCAGGTCGGCGAGCGACCATTATCCCCAAAAGTCACGAAATTTGCTGTGTGCCATTCGCAGATGTGAGGCATGTAACAAGTATTCATACGTCGACGTGCCAATCATTTTTAGCACAATTCATCAATGATTTTTTACAAGGGGCCATGACTTTAGCTATGAGTAGCTTGGTCAATAAAACTCTGCTGTCACCAAATTGTCATAAAGTTTTGAGGAAGGATATTATAAAACTCCCAGAAAAACAAAGAGGGAAATATTTAAAGAATTGATCCGATTTAGACGAGAGGCACAAAAGACCTAAAATGAGAAAAGTCAACACATTAAAAATGCCAACTTGGGCAATCCGATCAAGTATGGTTCAACCTTTTACACTTTTGATACTTTCTGCATCTTTAAATTTAAATTTAATTTAAAAGTTTATTTACACATGAATTGTAAAACTGAAAATTATTTTATGAAGACAGTCATAGAATATTTCGAAAGTGCCAACGAAAACCAGTTAGATGTACAGAGAGTTAGAATTTGCCTGGATTTTTTTAATAATACTCATGGAATTGTATCATGTGGAATTTCAATGGATCAATTGATTGAAGAATTGTTGGGAAAATGTTTAAAAAAGCATTATTATTATAAATTAAAAAAAGCCACAGTACTGATATTTTAAATATTAAGAGATTAGAATCATTTGCTACTGAATATGCTATACATAATAATACACATTTTGATTCCTTTTTCTTTGTTGATATTGTTGATTTTAACGAATCAAATACGGTGCAATTAAATGAGCTTCCGGTACAAATCAGTTGCAATCAAAAACTGTTCGTTTTTGCAGGTGTAATTGAGTCAATACGAAGTAACTTTAAATTAAATTTATTTCATTATTTCACTCTTTGTAGAATTGTAGGCTGCGGAAAATGGATATTGAAAGATGATCAATTGATGAAAACCGTAAAAATAAAAAGTAACGACAAAACTGCAAGAAAAATAATTCTATTATTAAATGTGCAGACATTTGAATAATCTTTAATTTTAACAAAATATTTTCATCAAGTCCTTGAATTCAATAAAAAAAATTTCAAATTTCAAAGAGTTGTTTAACATACATTTCATCATACATTTAATTTATTGCCTTATATGCTACCAACAATTGACATTTTGAGAATGAAAATTCAATTTAATTAAATTTTTATTTTGATTGGATTGGAACGTCAAGGGTCAGCGAGATAAATTTTTCCATGTACTTGACCGTTTGGTTAACGAGTAGAAGTTCGATGTTTCGAATTGCCGAAACATTTTTGAAAAGCAAAAAGATGATCGTTTTTATGCTGATTACGTGTATTTTTCAATGTCCGATGTCGATGAAATTTTGTAGATTTTATACAAATTGTGAGAATATTTTAATAAAAATTGCATATTAATCAATTACAGAAGTCGAAGAAATTCACCATTTATATAGACAGATTGTGTGACATTTATGTCAAGAAAAACCAATTAATAAATGTTTTTTAAGTATTTCTTGATATCATCAATACAAAAAAATAATATGATCAAAAACATATTTACACAATAATATGTATTATAAGTACGAAAAGAGGTTGCCGGCCCAACTTGTCCTGGGGGCGTCAACCTGCCTCAGCTGATTCATTTATCCGTTGATTCAAAAGAATGTCTCGTCCGGATGGCTTTTGTGAATTGAAAACGACTTCGACCGATTAGTTTAATTGACAGGAATTGACTTTGATCCAATTTTGGAATTCGAGAAAAGAAAGCTTCAAAAAATTATTTTGAAGCTTCTCCGCGAGACGAGAATCGCAAACGTCTCATGTGAACTTTATTTATGAATGAAAAGCTGGCTAGACCAGTACAACGCAATTATGATTGTTATTAATGCAGTTGCAGGTGGAATTTCATTTTTCACGTGGCACAATTCATTTAATTCATTGTATTAACGAATGGATGCATTACAATGGGAAAACAGTTGAATGAAAAATCATCGAGAATATGAGCATGTTGATATTGTACAGGTACTATCCAGTGCGCCTCGTCTCATTTTGTTTTTTCTTACCTCTCAGTTGTTTATCAAGGTTGACGTCTCTCACGTAGTATTGTATTTTCATAAATATATATATGTGATCAGGGTTTAATTAAATGATGTACGCGACAACACAAATATTATGGTGCATATAGCAATGCAAACATTACAATTATTTATTCAATCGAGTTCAAAAGATAAAAAAATATGTATTTCTATCACCACGGCCGTACAGTCGTCGTCGTCATAAATTCTCGTAAAATGTCGAAATCATGTTCGGCTGGGGACATATGCGTGGAGGCACGTAAAGATAATAGATACCGGATAACAGCAATCGCAACAACAATTACGGCCAATAAGGCCACGCCTATAAGAATCCGAGAGCAGCGTTTCCCGGTGTTCGAAACCGATCTCCGGACGCCCTGCGCGAAGACGAAAAGTAATTCGTTCATCAGTTTATTGTTTCAATACTTTTTACTCTCTAAAAATCAAATATCATACAACTATTACCTCGGTAGGGTACAGTTCCAGTTGCCGTCCACTCGGTCGAGCTGGCCGCCGTGGCGGAGTTGTCGTCGGTCGCGCGGCTGCTGCCAAGTTCACTTGTATGTCTCGAGCTCTTTGCTGGCAGTGAGGAGCTCTCATAGGTCTCTGGTCCATCTGCCTCTGGGCGTCTTCGTACGACGGCGGATGCACATCGTATCTCTGTGCGGCTTCGTAGTCCGGTGGCGGTGAGTTCCACTCTGCCTCTTGTCTCGGTGGCCCTTCCGCTGGTTGGAATCGTCTTTCTGGTTCTTCCGCCGGTTGGATTTGTCTGGGTGGAGCTGGATTCGCGGCTCTGGATTGGAGTGCTTCTTGATTGGAGCCTCTTCGTTGCGTGAGAACCGATACGTTGCCGGCCTCGTCGATTAAACTTCTGCGCCGCGATGGACCGGCTTCTTGGTGCTGACCGTCTCCCTCCGAAGTCGGTGCCGGATCCGACGGCTGAGGCTCGTCGCTTTCAAAAGCCTCATTGACATGGGCTCTCGCTGGGGGTGACGACCGAGACTCCTCGTCGTTCGAAGGAGTTTCGTCATCGGACTGATCTTCCTCGACTCTATTATTTGGGTCAATTTGATCGGAGCTCGTCCTTCTGTCGCGAGACGCCATTTTTACAACAAAACAATAAAAACTGAAACGAGGATACTGCGAGGAGAATCGGTTCGTTCAACGTCGTCCGGGATACTGGCAGTTACTCGAGACTTTTCGATTTGACGTACCTACGTTTAAGTTAGCGATATGTAAACATAGGCCGCTGTCGCTGCGATGTATACATCGCGTCGTGTACAACGACAAATTTTAAATATGAATCGATATATTTCTACTGAGAAAAAGCTCCGAATTTATATACCCGTATCAGATGCAGGGGCTTTGGGAGCGATGAAAAGCAAAAAAGTCTCGCATAGTATACGGCAACTGCAGTAACGAACTTTACATTTATAATAATTGAAGTAAAAGTTTACGCGTAATCATGAATTTGAAATTGTATACGATGTTGTCTAAATTTTGTTTTGATAAATTTCGTGCCGATTGACAAAGCTTCGTAGCTCTATATACCGAGGCTTCGACCGAGGCTATTGATTTTCGTGAAAATAATCCAAAAAAATATGAGGAAACGATTTCTTTGATCAATCACTTCGGATCTATTATTGCAAATCGACAACGATTAAAATATGTGCTGACGCTACTTTGCAACTTGTACTACTTTAATTTACCAATGAATTTAATTTAATCATAGATTTTTAATTTAGTTTATACTAGATATGTTTTAACTCATTGGAAGGTCGCCTAAAGAAGTTTCACTTAAATAATTCACAAAAAAATCGATATTGTATCTGTGAATCTGAAATATTCTGTAAAAAAATTGAATCAGACAAATGCTGGTACAAGCAAAATAGACCACAACCATCAGCAATGTCAGCCCGTCTGCGCGTTGGATTTCATACACTTACCAGCTCGTGTTGTCCAAAGCTAAGGTATTTCCATATTTATATAATTTTCACAAATTAAATTTTTTCTTCTTATTCATCAATTTTTTTATCTTTTTTTTTAGTTGAAAAGATTCAAGAACTCAAAAATTTACACATTACTAAATGGTTTTGGCATAATTTCATCTACATGTTAAACTCTACTAAACCCTCTATTTAATTGCAAGTTTTATAATCGAAAATGATTCTTTTGTTCATTGCTTCTAATCTTGAGTTCGATAAAAGCTATTGCAAGACCATAATCAAACATCATAACTCGAGCTACGTTACGTCTGCAGTGCCAAAAAAAATTTCAATGACTTCGATTAGTTAGTGTCACTTGGAGTTTGAAAAATAGAAAAAATAGAAAGAAAACAATTCAATATACACTCCACCCGATGAGTGAGAATTGAATATACCAGGGCATAGTTTGCAAATTTAAACGATTAGTGCAATTTACAAGAACTGACTTTTATCTAATTCTAAATTTTCACTTTCACCGTAGCTTCGATATTTTTTCGGAAAAATTTTTTAGAAAGAAGCCTGGTTATCAAGAATGGGTTCAAAAAATGACGGCATAAACTATACACAAATTGGGAAGTCCGAGGCCAACTGGACGAGGAGTACATCTCACAAATCTCAATTTTTCTTGACATTGACGATGGACCCACCAGCGCGGGTATTTACCTTGAGTAGCCCCAGCTCATTTTGTATGTGATGGTCACAAAGTTGCTCGTCGTGTGCTCCAATAGAAAAAGTTGAGTTGCTGCCCAGTCAGGCATGTCCTGTATAAGACTTTTACTTGAATAGCGATTATGTTGTGTGACCAGTGTAAAAAATTGTAATTGTTATTATTACATTTATAGGTGGAATTTACTCAAGAGTTGATGCATTAATAAGTACATGTTGATATTCTATAGGTACTATCCAGTGCGCCTTGTTTCATTTTGTTTTTTTTTACCTTTTACTTGTTTATCAAGGTTGACGTCTCTCGCGTAATATTGTATTGTTATATTTATGTGGTCAGGGTGTAATTAAATGATATACGCGACAACACAAATATTATGGTGCATGTAGAAATACAAACATTACAGTTATTTATTCAATCGAGTTGAGAAGATTAAAAAAACATGTATTTCTATCGCCACGACCATACAGTCGTCGTCTTAAAGTCTCGCGAAATGTCGTAGTCATGTTCGGCTGAGAACTCAGTCGGGATAAAATTGCAAATACACGTAAATGATCACAAAAAAAATAAAGATCAAGCCACCCATGCATAGACAAAGTACGCGATCATCCATTTCGTTCTCACTCCATTGCGGCTGTGGTGGTTGTGTGTCCAGCATTGGCGAGGCCAGTATGGGTGCCGTGGGTGCCGCGGCACCCCCACTAATTTTGAAGGAGCGCCTAGAAGCGAAATATTTAAAAATAAAAATCACCCATTTTTCACGTAATAAACATATTGATAACTAAATATGGAATCGTAAATTACTAAAGCGCACATAGTGTTTTTTAGTAACCGAATTAACCCATACCAAACTATTTTTTTTATCTTTGAGAACAAAATATTGAATATATAATCCAAGTAAATGAAATAATAAATGCGAACAAACTAAATCAATTTTAAATATTCAATTGATGCTCGTTTAAATAAAAAAGTGTTCAAAAATCTTGGAACGTTATTTATAGATATGAAATTGGACTTGAATTTTGACCAAGAACGCGATGCACAGTCTACAACCAAAAAATTTGGCATCGACAATGATGAACTTCGAGCAGAAGTCAGATTACTTCGAACGAAGAAAGATACAAAATCATTTTCATGCACAGTAATTGAATGGCTTAATTGGTTATCTATACAGAATAGAAAACTTTGTTACCCCACTTTTTATAAATTAGTATCTACGTTTGCGTCAATTCCTGTCACCAGTTGTACTTGTGAGCGTAGTTTCTCTAAACTTAGCATTATAAAATCAAAGCTACGCTCAACAATGTTGCAAGATCGTTTGGAAAATTTAATGGTTCTATTTATTGAACAAGAGTTGGCGGTAAATATTGATCCTATTGAGGTAATTGAAGAATTTAACAAAATTGTTCCTTTTGATAGACGCATGGTATTGTAAAATAAATTATATTTTTATCAAATTTGTAATTTTATCTAAGTATCTCTTTTTTTGTACCCCTTTTTCTAAACTTACATTATTTATAATTATCAATAAAAATTAAAAAATTTTGTACTCATCAAAGTCTAAAAAAAATATATACAAGCTGAGCAGAAAATTTGAAATTGGCACCCACTCTAGTTGAACCCTGGCCACGCTAATGGTGTCCAGTGTTATGTTTGCTTGATCTCCTGGCTGGACGTTATACACAACTTCGCTTTGAGAAACATCATTGATATGGGCGCTCGCTGGAGTCGCTGGGGGTGACGGCCGAGACTCGTCGTTGTTCGAAGGAGCTTCATCGGACTGAGCTCCCTCGACTCTAGTATTTGGGCCAATTTGATCGGAGTTCGTCCTTCTGTCGCGAGACGCCATTTTTACAACAAAACACAAAAAACAGAAACGAGGATATTACGAGGAGAATCGGTTCCTTCAACGTCGTCCGGGATACTGGTAGTTACTCGAGACTTTTAGATTTGACGTAGGTACGTTTAAGTTAGCGATACGTAAATAAAGGCCGCTGCGATGTTTACATCTTGTGCGTACAACGACGGCGATGACAACGACAAATTTCAAATATGAACTGCAGCGACGAACTTTGCATTGAAAATAATGAAAGTAAAAGTCTTCAGGTATTAAGGAAACACGTACACCTTAAACTCAAAAATTATTGATTCGATTTTTGAGTAGAATTTTTCCTTTCCTCTTCATTGAATGCTTTGATATTCCAAAATTTTGATTTTGCCTTAAGATACAGCGGTTTCCGTGAGCCATTTCCCTATACTTCGCGTCTTAAACTTTTTCTTATTTAGTGTTTTCTGGCGAGTATTGTTTTTGGTCATCTATCGTAACTTTTAAAGGGTACCGATTGAGCTTCAGCACCAGGGTACCGTACACTTCTTCAAAACATCAATGTTTACGGTCACTACCGCGGATCGAACCAATAAGTCACTCTCAAACAGTATTTTTATGACTTATATTTCGGCAAGTAAAATGAAAAAATGTATGCTTAATTGTTTATGCAGAGCAATATGCGTGTTCGATGACTCCTAAAGTGCTTGTGTTTGTAAGCATTGATGTTCTAAAAAAATATACGCGATCCTGGCGCTGAAGCTACCCTCTGAAAATTACGACAGGCGGCCAAAAATACTACTCACCATAAAAAACTAAAAAAGAAAAAATTTTTCATGCAAAGTTTAGAAAAAAGGCTCGCGAACGCAGTTCTGCATTTCATGCAAAATCGAAATTTTGGAATTTTTGAAAAATTCAATGAAAAGGAGAAGAAAAATCCAATAAAATTTTTCTGAGTTTGAGGTGTATGTGTCCCTTCAATGAATTTGAAATTGTGAACGATGTTGTCTAAATTTTGTTTTGATGAATGTCGTGCCGATTAACAAAGCCTCGTAGCTCTATATACCGAAGCTTCAACCGAGGCTATTGATTTTCGTGAAAATAATCAAAAAAAAATGAGGAAATGAATTTTTTGATCAATCATGTCAGATCTATTGAGGTAAATTTACAGCGATTTAAAAAAAGGCTAACGCTACTTTGCAATCGTATAATCACGACTTGCTCAACTTTAATTTGCCAATGCATACAATTTATTGATAAATTTGCAATGTAGTTTAGTAATAATTAATATTAACAACTTAATTGTACGTAAGAAATTTTTTTTTTAATAATTGGCTGAATAAATCGAACATTTTCAACAGAAATATATTATTCAAATTTAGATATCAAGTTTTAATCCTATATAAAAAATTAATTCAAAGTGGACCGAAGCACCTAAATGGCCGAAAATAGGGGCACATACCTGAGTGAAATGAAAATCGTCCTTGTCGACATTGAACATCGTGACAGAAAACTCACACCTGAACACGAATAAATTTATTACATTTCTTCTTCTCATGAAAATTATTGACAGCAGTCGATATCCTCGTTCATGCATTGCTCCGTGCAAAGTCGGATTTGTTAATAAAGTGTATCGTGTTTGAGAATGCTATGAAAGAGTAGAGCCAAATGCTTGATGTCCAAAGCTAAGGCATAAACTATATACAAATTGGCAAGTCCGTAGCTAACCGGACGAGGAGTACATCTCACAAATCTCAATTTTTCTTGACATTGACGATGGACCCACCATCGCGGGTATTTACCTTGAATAGCCCCAGCTAATTTTGTATGTGATAGTCACGAAGTTGCTCGTCGTGTGCTCCAATAGATAAAAGTTGAGTTGCTGCCCAGTCAGGCATATCCTGCGTATAAGACTTTTGCTTGAATAGCGATTATGTTGTGTGACCAGTGTAAAAAATTATAATTGTTATTTTTACAGTTGCAGGCGGAATTTACTCAAGAGTTGATGCATTAATAAGTACATGTTGATATTCTATAGGTACTATCCAGTGCGCCTTGTTTCATTTTGTTTTTTTTTACCTTTTACTTGTTTATCAAGGTTGACGTCTCTCGCGTAATATTGTATTGTTATATTTATGTGGTCAGGGTGTAATTAAATGATGTACGCAACAACGCAAATGTTATGGTGCATATAGAAATACAAAAATTACTATTATTTATTCAATCGAGTTGAGAAGATTAAAAAAACATGTATTTCTATTGCCGCGTCTATTCCTTCATCGTCATCGTCGTAAAATTTCGTGGAAGTGTTATGGTCTCATTTATTTGTTGCATGTCACGTATTCTACGATTGTTCATACACCAGGCCTGAAACCCAAGTAAGATCAAGCCCACGGCTAGAATAGCCAAAGTGCACCAATCATTGCGGTCCAAATCCCATATCGACTGCAGCTGCGTGAAAACGAAAAAATAGTTCGTCCATCAGTTTGTTGTTCCAACATTTTTTACTCTCTTTAAAAATCAATCACATTATATGGTTATTACCGGTGGAAACTGTGGGGTGTTACTACTTGTATCTTCTACCTGGGAACGATACCAATTTTCCATATGCAGGCGCAGCCGTTCTTCCGGTGATAGATGTGCATTGGCAGGGTCTTCTCCTATTAACCGTATCGTGACAGTCGATCCGTCATCGGACTCATCGCCTGAATTTCCGCCCGCCGGTGCACCGGCATGTCTCCGGTGGTGGCCCTCCTCCTCGCCGTTCGGAGGAGTTTCGTCATCGGACTGATCGTCCTCGACTCTATTATTTGGGTCAATTTGATCGGAGCTCTTCCTTCTTTCCTGAGCCACCATTTTTACCGGTCCACTAAAAGACAAGAGTCAAAAAAAAAATAAAAACGAGGATACCACGACAATCAGTTCGTTCAACGTCGTCCGCGATACTGACAGTTACTCGAGACTTTTAGATTCGGCGTACGTACGTTTAAGTTAGCGATACGTAACTATAGGCCGCTGCGATGTTTACATCTTGTGCGTACGCAACGAAGTAGACGGTGGAAAGGGTCGATCGTTAAATTTCAAATATGAACTGATGATATGTTTCTACTGGAAAAAGAGGATTATACAGAAGATTTGGGTGCGATTAAAAATGAATAAGATACGCAGAGTTATATGCAAGCACCACAGCGATTTTTACATTTGAAATAATTTAAAAAAATATTCATATAATCATGAATTTGAAATTGTACACGATGTTGTCTAAATTTTGTTTTGATGAATTTCGTGCCGATTGACAAAGCCTCTGAGCTCTATATACCGAGGCTTCGACCGGGGCTATTGATTTTCGTGAAAATAATACCAAAAAAGATGAGGAAACGATTTCTTTGATCAATCACGTCGGATCTATTATTGTAAATTAATAGAAATTAAAATATAGGCTTTTGACTTATATTGCAAGAACTCTTAAAGAGATTTCACTTAAACAATTCACAAAAAATCGATATTGTATCTGTGAATCTGAAAATGACTGTAAAAAAATTAAATCAGGCAAATGTTGGTATAATCACAACTTGTACACTACTTCATACTTAATATGCCAATGAATTAGATTTATTAATGGACCTCCAATTTAGTTATATTAGATACCTTATTTGACTTATATTAGAAGATCTCCTAAAGAGATTTCACTTAAACAATTCACAAAATATCGATATTGTATCTGTGAATCTGAAATATTCTGTAAAAAAATTGAATCAGGCAAATGATGGTACAAGTAAAATATCGCTACGCTCGGGTGAAAACAACTCCTGGGTGAGTCAACTGCTTCGCGCACTTGTGACAAAATATACTATTTTCCATTGGATATTCGTATTCGAGATCAGATCAAAAATATATTCATCAGATTCTAAAGAAATACTGACTGTTTTCGAAATCGACCTTTTCAATAAAAATGTAAAAAAAGTAGCCTCAAGTCACGAAGGAAAGACACAAGTTATTATTATATAAATTCACCCATCCGTCGATACAACGCATTGCCTTTGTTATTGTCTCCTGTATACGAAAGGTCATTAAAACGGTTACGAGGTGTAGTCGTCACTCGGCTTCACTCGTTTAATTTCTAGAAATGTGGCGGGAACGACGCGTCGTTGCAGACAGTATTGCGCCGAATGTCGCTCAGTCGACAGTCAATAACGGACTGTCGCAGTGCACGAACGCGTATACCACAAGCCGCCGAAGCGTGAAATAATCTATGGTAAAGAACTTTCGTGAAAAGTGGAACTGCTAAAAATTTTAGTTAATTCGCGAGTGAATTAGAAAATGGCACGTTACGAGCAAGATAGCAGTTTGAGAAAATTAAAAAGTTTGCGAGCTAGCATCGATTGGGAGGTCGAGGAAGCGCGGCACGAGATCTCACGCGAATTTTTCTTACTAATCGGAGAATGGTGGGGCCAACTTCCTAATCTTGAAGAAATTTTTCGTCGCGAAGAGATGGATTGGTTCATCGTCGAGTATTTGAGCAGTTTCACCGATTATGACTCGGTTGCCTCTAATTGATTTTTCATCGAGTTTTTGATTTGCGCCGGCTACAAGGACGAGCCCGAACTCGATAAAGACGGCAAGCCAATTTTGCTTCGCACCACACCGGTGCACTTCGTAGCCAAGACCCAGTGTCAAATGAATTATTCTGCTTTGTTCGACGATCTGTTCAAAATATACGACAGATACGACGCGAACTTCACCGACGAATCTGGACTGTCGCATTTTCACGTGGCCTGCGAGTACGGCTGTCGCGACGTCGTTCAAAAATTCCTCGAGCTCGGTCAAGATCCCAATTTCATTTGGCGAGAAACGGGTGATTCGCCGCTGCACTTGGTTTTACGTAAACACAACATATGCACGATGAAATTCATGTTGAAAAATAGCGCTAATCCGAATTTGGCAAACAATGACGGATTCACTCCCCTACACCTTATATTCCACGCAGATGAAATGTTTAACGACGTTATATACATTACCGTGGGGGATTTCTTCCATATAAATGACGAAAAGCATCAGCTAGTTCAGATGATGCCAAGGACAGGTTGGGTCGGACACCACTGCAATGGGCCGTGGCGAATCTTTTTCAGCCGGATGTGATAAATTTACTTTTGAAACGTGGGGCTGACTTTTCTAGCTTCGTTTTTCCAAACGAGACTTACTTCGGTTTGAGGTATCAATATTATCAACAAGATAATTATGACAATAAGGCTTCGTAGCTTCTGATACGCTGGCCATCGTCGAATGCATAAAGAAGAGAGGGTACGAACTAAATCGAAGAGACGCCCTTACGATCATGAAATTTTTTGGTTGCATTGGACTTTTTCGCTTTCCGTTAGTTTATGACGAAGATGATGTTGACGATGAAAACTGTACGTTGTGTTCTTATGACGAGGATATGGAACTAATGTGTCAGTGGCACAAATCCGTAATATTGTCCGTGAGAAGATTTTTCCAACGCTGGGCGCTAGAAGCTTTCTCGAGGCTGACGTGCAACCGATTGCCAAGTCGCAGCTGTAAAACAATCATCGAGAAGCTTTGGAATGAAGATTTGTTGAATATGTGCATCGCAGTTGATAACGCTATGAAAGAGCAGAGTCAAATACTTGATGTCCAAGACAAAGGTATATCAATATTTATGTCCTTTAGGAATATTATTTTTTTTGGCTGTTCTATGACCTATTTTTGTCTATTATCTATTTTTTTTCAGTTGACGAGATTGAAGGAATTAAAAATTTACTCATAACTGAATGATCTTGAAATAAATTCATCAGCAAGGTTCAATTCTGTTTAACATTTATTTAATCAAGAACTTTGAATTTAAAATTAGTTTTTTTGTATTATTGATTTTAATCTTGAATTCAATAAAAGCTATTGTAAGACACTTATGAATATATTACATAGATATATAAAAAATATTTACAACATCATAACTCAAGATCTGGTACATCTGTCAGTGCAAAAAAAAATGTTTAATGAATTTGCTTAGTGAGTGTCACTTTGAGTTTTAAAAACAGAAAAAAAACACACAAAAACACACAAAAAAAGCACACTTCTATAAACATACCCTATAAATGAGTGCAATTAAAGAGTTATAGCCAGCAGTATGTAACTTGTAATGAAATGATGTTTAACGCTAAACTTTAAATCTTAAAAACAGGAAAAAAAAAGAAAGTGCACAATTCTATAAACATACCCTATAAATGAGTGCAATTGAAGATTTATTGCCAGCAGTATGTAACTGTTTAATAGTATGATGATTAACGCTGAAGTTTAATTATTAAAAAAAATTCTTCATCTGCATGAATATTTGAATCCATTTACTGTTCAAAAATTTGAATAGATAAAATTAATACTAGCGACTGGTAAATTGTATACATTAAAACCCTCATGAATCTTTGTCTAACAATCTAAGAAGAACAATAGACTTTATTTATTAAATAAGAAAAGTAAATCTAATTTTCAGAAAGATTGACTATTCCTCAAATCAATCATATTATAAAATTTTGAACTGAAAAAACAATAAAACATAAGAATAATATGATGCTAATTCAATCATTTCGATATTTCACTCTTGAAATAAGGAGCATAAACAGTGGCTATGTATATTGTACATACGTAGCATCTAGAGAGAGTTGCAATAACAGGATTATAGGCAAGCTCAATACAGATCGGCCTTTCGTACGGTGCGCATCTGCTATAGGCTGCCCTCTGTGGCATTGCAATTGACCGATTCGTTGATCCTCTCTTTTTATCTGCCGCATTGCTAACTTTTCGCCTTTGTAAGTAGGAGATGGGGATCGAAATTACGACGGCGTTCAGAAAGATGCACGTGTGTAAACTTGGACAGAATCGAATGTAACAATTATACATAGTATGCGAATGGCTATCATCGATTGAAAAGTGGTTTAAACGATTAGTTCAATTTGTAATCATTAATTTACAGGAATTGACTTTTATCCAATTCTAAATTTTCACTTTCCCCGTAGCTTCGATATTTTGTCTGGAGAAATTTTTGGAAAGGAGCCTGGTTATGTAGTGTAGGTCAAAAAATTACATCACGCAGCTATGACGGTTCAAAAAATTACGGCATAAACTATATACGGATTGGGAAATCCGTTGCTTACTGGACGAGGAGTACACCTCACAAATCTCAATTTTTCTTGACATTAACCCACTGCCGCGGGTATTTACCTTGAGTAGCCCCAGCTCATTTTGTATGTGATGGTCACGAAGTTGCTCGTCGTGTGCTCGTATAGATAAAAGTTGAGTTGCTGCCCAGCCAGGCATATCCTGCGTATAAGACTTTTACTTGAATAGCGATTATGTTGTGTGACCAATGTAAAAAATTATAATTGTTATTATTACTGTTGCAGACGGAATTAACTCATGAGTCAATGCATTACAATGAAAATCCAGCGAGAACATAAGCATGATATCCAGCGTCTCTCGTCTCATTTTGTTTTTTTTTTTTACCTCTTACTTGTTTATCAAGGATGACGTCTTTCGCGTAATATTGTATTTTCATATACATATTTTCATATTCATGTGGTCAGGGCGTAATTAAATGATGTACGCGACAACATAAATATTATGGTACATATAGAAATACAAAAATTACAATTATTTATTTAATCGAGTTCAAAAGATAAAAAAAATATGTATTTCTATCGCCACGACCATACAGTCGTCGTCTTAAAGTCTCGTGAAATGTCGTAGTCATGTTCGGCTGGGAACTCAGTCGTGTGGAAAACGGATATAACGTAAATACAAGTAAGCGAACACACAAAAAAGAACGACAATGGCACCTCCGCCTAGAATAAGCATAGTGCCGCGATTCATTTCCTTCTTACTCCTTTCCGACATTGGCGGTGTTATGTCCATTGATATGTTTACTTGGTCTTCTTCCAAGTCCTGGTACAAGTCAATCGGCTGCGGCGCTTC